AGCAACTTAATGTCGATAATAACATATGGAAAACTGTATAAAATAATTGCCCATATAACCCAATAGATTTTATTAAAAATGGAAGTTTTTTTTGCTACAATTTATCATCAAATGATAGTAATATGTAGGATAAATACTTTATCGTAATAATGCCTAATATGGTATAGATACTCAAAATATAGATATTTTCAAATCTAGATATCAATAGGTCTATTCTAAAAATGAATAGCAGAATGTAGTGATAAATATATAAATTATTTGTGCTTTCCCATTCATAATCCAAGTAAAATAAAAAGAATATCAGCTAAAATTTGCTAATTAAGAAAAGCACCAATTATATTTGTGATCTAATTCTTACACTCCTTTCAGAGTGCATAGTAACTTAAATCATTTTACTAAATACATCCCCAATTGAAATTCCATTATTACTTTTTTTGCAATTTGCCTTTCGCATTTAGCGATTAAACTTTATAATAATAATTTAAAATTGTAATTCAATACATATGAATACTTAAAATGCAATGTAATATAAAAATAAATCAAAATTAAATGTTCTTTAAATAATTATATATATGTTACATATACAACAAATATCATCTTTAAAATGGCACACCATTTATTTTCTTAATAATGTGCCAATTATGTCTTCAAGATTATTTCATTCTAAGGGTTGATTTCTAATTTAAGAACTTGGATATCAATTCTATTTTTAGCCAGCACATTTTAATCGATCAGGAACCTTAGCTCCAAAATTTAAAAACTGGTCTATTTTAATTTTTACACTTTTAAAGTTCATTAGACAAATTTGCAGGTCTCTTAGTAGGAGCTAAGTGTATTTTCTATTAATAGTTTTGCAATTTCTTATTACATGTTGTGGATTTTAGATATAAGATTAGATAAATTTTCAGTTGGAATATGTTTTTATTTATAAATGAAAACTGATAAAGTAGATGTAGGTTAAATGGATACTTATTGGATGGATTATTTAATACTATAAATGTGTAATGACAAATATTATTATGACTATTTTTTGATTTTGGCAATAAAATTTTTTATAATAATTATGCTTGAGAGTATTCCTCTAATTCAATATATTTGTTAACAGTAGGAACATTCATAACATGCTCACCTTAATACATTATATAAATATCTAATAGTGACTTCATGTAGTAAATCTCATAAATTAGTTTATTTTTGCATAATTTAAATATATATTAATATATTAAATTATTTGGGTAAAATAAATGTCAATAATTGAGAAAACTAAGATGGTCTAAATCCTCCCTTCAGCTCTTAACAATAATTGTAAAATATTGTTTAAATTGGCATTTACATAAAAAAAAGAAATTTACAAAATATTTCTCATTTTTTAAATTAAAGTTAAAAACTTCAATAGTAAGTTTAAAAATAAAAAATTGAATCATTAGACAACTGAGGCTTCTTCATTTATCTTCAGTAATTCGTCTTCAACATTGTTAAAGTATAATTAAATTTAATGCTTCATGTTTCTTAGTTTTCTAATTTTATCTTAATCAATATTATTTTCCATCTATTTAATCATATTTTATTTAATTATATCAATTAATTTAAGATCTTCTGTCACCTTTTAAATAGAATTCTCACTACTTTATCTATTAATAACGGGAATTTATTAAAGGTCCTTAAAACTATTTGTTAGTTTATCTTTTGCTGTTTATACTCGTTAAAGAAATCTATATTTAATTATTCCATAATACCTTTGCATCTCCTCTATTTCCATTTAGATATTATTGATCTCTCCTTCTACATGTTCCTAATAAAACTACTCAAATGATTTTTTTTATGGTTCTTTATTTTAATTGTAATTAATGTCTACCCTCTCTTAATTCATCATATAGTCTTTGAAGCATTTAGATGATTACAAGCTTTACTCTTATTCATATTCTTTGGAAAAGTTTTGTACATTATTGAACAGATTCTCCTCCTATCTTCTTTTCCCAATCTAATCATTACCAAAATTTGAAGTATCATAGCTATATTAGTTTTATTATTAGGAGTCTTATTATGATTGAGATAGTTTAAACATGTCTTCGATAGTGCTTGTTCCAAATTGTTACTTAGAATCTCTGATTAACAAAGTTTAACCTGAATTTTGATTAGTTTATTATTGTTGCTAATCTTATTAGACAAGCATTTTTTCATATTTATTAATAAATTCTCTAACATTTTCTTAGTTTAATTCTTATTGTTATGATTAAAAAGTCATTTAATTGCATTTAATTTGAACCTCTTCTGTTAAGGATTCACTAGTTGGATAATTTCCATTTTTAAGTTTATTAGTATCAAAGCCCTGAATCTGCATTCTATAATAATTGATTTATTTTTCTGATTAAACTGCCAAAACCATTTCTAACTATATTATATAAATCTAATTTGATACTTTGATTTGTTCAATCCAACTTAAATATTTTTTTAATTCAATTTTAGCTTCCTTAAATCTTCTGAGAGTATGCAATATTTCTTTATCACTTTTCATTAACGAATTTAATTAAAATTAATAATGGATGCAGTAATGAATGGCGCAATAGCTGGAGCAACCACAGTTCTAATCACAAACCCATTTGATTTAGCAAAAACGCGATTATAAGCTTAAGGGGAACTTGTAGCTGAAGGCCACTATAAGAGAGCATATTCTGGAGTGATAAATACATTAATTAAAACTTCATCCTCTGAAGGAATCTTTGCAGTTTAAAAGGGCCTGTAAGCTGCTATTGTATTTCAAATTATTATGAATGGATTACGATTCGGAAGCTACGAGATTGTGAAGGATATTGCAAATGAATAATTCCATTTATATAATTCTCATGGATATGTAAAGGTTTTATCGAATATTGGTATTTCAGCCGGAGTTGGTTGTTTTAGTGCGTAATTGATAAATATTTAAGTTTAGATTTGTTTCGAGCCCATTTAATATGATTAAAACTAGATTAATGCTTTAAACCAAGGATTTACCATGTGGAAATAGATATCATTATTCTGGGCTTATTGATGCAATTTCTAAAATATTTAAATAGGAAGGGTAAATTTTATAGCAAAGCTAAATAGATTGAAGGGACTTTATGCTGGATCATCAATTATGGCGTTCAGAACTGGACTGGGATCTGCAATTTAGTTACCAGTTTTTGATTTTACGAAAGAACATGGAAAAAAATGGATTAGAAACCAAACTGAATTAAATATGGTGGCTAGTGCTAATGCAACTTTATGGTTATGTTTATTGACCTGTCCTGTGGAGGTAGCTTTGACAAGATATTTTAATTAATAATTTGATAAAGTAGACATATTAAATATTCTAATTAGTTTGGTAATCCAACAGTTTATTAAGGATGTTTCCATGCCATAAAAATAATTTTTGGATCAGAAGGTTTCTTAGGATTATACAAAGGATTAGGAGGATTATTTTTTAGATCTGGTCCATAATCGTTTATCTCATTATTGATTGTCAATCAATTAAATAGTCTAAGAAATCAAAAAAAAAAATAATGAATATTGTATCTGTATAATTTTGGTTACAAAACACTAATTAATCATAGATCTTTAATGAATCTAAAGTTCTCGGGCTCTTTTAATGCTCTTAACAAATTTTATCGATACTTGAGATGCCAAATAGTATTAGAAATTCTGGAGTTATAAACGTAAGCTACTGACTAGTTCTTTAAAAAGTATTAACTTTATTAATAGAATATAATAATTACCTTATTATTCGAAAGACTTTGTTAAACTCAGAAAACTTTCCTCCATCCACCCAAAGGTCTCTTAATTATTTGATATTAGTCATTTGATTTTTTTTATTCTTTAGCAAATTCAAAAAGTCATCATATTGTTTATTTGAGAAAAATGATTTAAGTAAATCTGGGTTATTCATAATATATGAGATAATTGCTTTCGAAAAATTCTTAGTGATGTTTTTAGTATCATTTATTTTCTTTTCTTTTTTCTTCCTTATTATTTTGAAGGATTCAGAACTATCAACTTGTGAGTGCTTATTATAGTACTTTTTCATCTTTGAAGGTTGAGGAAGTTCATTCCAACTGCTTTCTTCTTATCTTATAACTTCACTTTAACAAGATTCTTCTAAATTCAGAAATTTTATTTCTTCCTTTTTGAAATGTACATCTTTTTTTATTGCTTTTGGCTTCAAAATGGTTGGCTATCTATGCAGTTAATTGGATTGTTAAGTATTATTACAGATACTTGATGTATTTTGTTATTGCTCTAAATTTTAGTGCAACTGCTGTTTATGGTTTTGATTTAAGTTCAGGAAAGGGCAGATTGAGCCATTAGGTGACTAACTGATTAATGTACCTAGCTAATTTAAATATTATTGTTAGGCAGGAACTAAGAGCAATGGTCTTTAAAGCAATTTGCTATCAAGAGAATTAGTGATTAGTAGTTCTATATATTTTTGTCTATCCTTCAATAACTCGATTCCTCCGTCAAAAGATAGTTTCGAGACAACCCTTTGATTTTGTTAGGATTATGCTTGCATAATTTTTTAGATTGTTGGAATGTCTCCTGTGATTAATTAGATGGCGTCTCCTTATGAGCCAGGAACCTTAGGTTCAACAGAGTACGATTAGACAGGATCAAAGGATACATCCTATTTAAAGTTTTATTATCTTTGGATGAGAGAATTGTAGGGAAGGAAAGATTTCCCATATTTTTTTATGCCTTCCGCCATATTTAATTATATTATGATATATTGATAGCATATATTAATTAAAAAATGAGCTACATGTAAGCCGGATTTTTGGATACAATGAATTTGTCTTCTTAATTCCAATTTAATGAAAATTGAAAGTGTTAAGATTCATTTATATATATAAAAATATATTTGATAATATATAATGTTCAATTAAATTAAAAATCTGGAAACTGTGGTTTAATTTTTGATCATAACAGAAAGTTGTTATTTAATTGTGTAATATCGAATTTAATTAAATATAAAAATTGTACAACTATCAATACTCTTGACCAGCTATGATGATCCTGACATGCCGATCGAATTAATCATCCAAGAATAACACCGACGTTGGAATTAACAGAATAAACCTTCTGACCAGAAGCAACTCTTTCTGCAATTTTGGGAACAGATAAAATACAAAGTAAAGCATTAAGAAGATGGAATAAACCATATAAATGATTGAAATACTCTAAAACAATATTAATAACTATTTACATTTGAGATGGCAATCTATTAATTTGTAACGTTCACCATTCCTGTCTTAAACTATTTACTCATTATTTGTGTAGCTCTCATTACGATCAATCCTCCTTCATTCTCATACCAATTGTATTCGATTCTTTTTGTAAAATTATTCATTGCCATCTGCATGGTTATAGTGGTATATATAAATTTTAGAGTCTGAGTCAATCCTTGATTCAAAGAACCTTGTAAAGATATGTCACAATATCGCGTTAAAAAACCTAACACGTCATCTCCAATGGTGGTACATACATTACTTTATTGAATTTGAAGAAAAAAATCCAAGAAATCTTAAGAAACTTAATACTTTGTGGAATCAAATGAATAAGAGAACTCTAAGAATGTGTTTATGGTGTCCAAACCAGTATACATAGTCACATAGAATTTCTCTCTATCATAGTCTCTTAAATAAGGCAGATTAGGAAAATTAAGGCCAAAATCTCTATTTCTAAAAAGGGTTCCTGCATACAAGGTCATGTCTTATAATAACTTATATGTATCTGCAGTTGCAGTGTATTTATTTAAGTAATCACCTATTTAAATGTTGGCGACTATGGACAAAGCTAAGAATACTAACCAACCGAAAATTATAAAGAAAAACCCAGAGAAAAATGAGAGGTTTTTTAATTATTACTACACTTTGATATCTTTAGCTCTTATTTAATCATGATCACTTTTCTACTTTTCTTTTAAAATGTTATCTTCTTTATTATCGATCGAAAATTAATAATTATAAAGTGTCTCTGTATTTTTATTCATTAGCCTCAGTATGGATTTTAACTTTTCAATTTCTAAATCCATTTTATACGAAGAACAATATCTAAATAGATTTGTATATTTATCAAATTTTAATCTATATATTCTATAATAGTAGATGCTGGCCAACAAAGGGCAGACTCCTATGAGTAAATAAATAATCCAAATGAGATTCCACTTATCGCTAGTCTCAACACTCCTATTTTTTGAATAGGCTAACACTTCCAAAGTCAAGTCTTCCAGCCAATAATGGAAATTATAAACATTGGCAAATTAATATATTTGATAGGTTTGATTAGCAGGACTTAGACGAGATTCAAATCTTAATTTAAATTAATAATAATATGACAAGGTCGCCATTAATGCCTCTCTAATGTTTTACACTATCCCGTATGTTTTTGTAGCATCATAGAGCATATAATATGCAGTGATGTTTTTATCTTTAAAAAACGGAGTCAGATAATCATTGCTCAACCAATATATAAACCCATCTTTGAATTCGTAATATCCTATTGCAATATTTTCAAATAATGGATTGGATAACTAGTTGTATTACTCTTATGTGAGTTTACCTGAACCTAAAAATCCTTGATATGTAAATATTGTTTATCTCATTTGTAAATACAGGTCATGAGGATTCATAACACCAGCATGTAATTGGATCATATCAATTTCACCAATAAATCTATTCAAATCATTTTAAACTCCAACCAGAATAATGAGAAAATAAGTTAGAGAAATAAGGTAGGTTAATTCTTAAAAGAGTATGAATAACTTTAAAGTGTTAGGATATATCGGTTCTACAAGTTAGAGGATCATTTCGTATTTTTTATAGAATTGTGACTTCTTGATACCTTTGAGAACATTGTTAGATGATGACTCCTCTTCTCCTTACACTATTTTTTTTCGTTTTATGATGTTCTACTCTACATTTCTCCTGCTGGCTCTTCTATTATTATCATCTTCAAATTCATCCTAATTATTAACTATCTTAGAATCATTTATGGATATAGAAATATCCTTTTGTTTATTAAAATAATCTTACTGATGGAATTACGAATTAGAGAATTGCAAAGGAATTTAAGATGAATCTTGCCAAGGAGTATTACTAACATTTGGACTTAAAATATTAGGTTCTCTAAATGAAATGTAATCTGGTTGTAATATTTAAATAGGCTATGCTATCTATTTTTTACTCTATTCAACTTCATCACCTGAATGAACCATTTCATCATTAAGTTTTACTGAATTAACATTTCTAAAGGCTTTGGGAGAATTAGCAACTGCCTCATTTTCAGATAAATCAGAAAGCTCAAAAAAATGTTCTAAACCATCTAATGCTTTATTCCTACTTGAGTGCCCAATAGATTTTTTTGAATTAAATTATTATTTTAAATCTTTGACTTCTATTATATAATAGTAATAACCATAAATTTCAAAGTACTAAATTATTATTTCTGCATCAAAAATGTAAAGTCTTTCTAATTGTGACCAATTATTAGAAGTCAAAGATTACTACCTTTTTTACTTTTTATCGTATTCATCGCGATTAAAGAATACCTCTTTAACAAACCTTAATTCTGTGATTGCACTTTGAATGTTTGATTCAATTAACTTTTTAAAATTTGGTATCAATAATTCAATTGGTAAATAAAAATCTTCAACAGAATTTATTAAAGCTATAGTTTTTTCATTGAATCCTAATTTTTCGAAAAAGCTCTCTGTAAGGCCACCTACTAAATGATTGATGTCGACTAGGATATATGCTGATTAATTAACGCTTTCAGAGAAAAATGCAGAAAACTTATAATGGCTTATTGAGTCAAAATGAATGTCAAAAATGAATTAGCAAGTCCTCATCAAAATGTTCTGATAACGAAAAAATGTTTAGTTAGAATTAAGGTAGAATTTTGATTTACTCGTTTATATGAATCTCTACACTAATAGATTATGTTCATTCTAAATACCAAATGGCAATATATATTCAACATTAGTGAATTATTTTGCATCATCTTAGTGTATTTAGAAAAACCTTAAAGCATTTTCTGACTTACGCTAAATAGACAAAGTTTAATTATCTTCTAAAGTTATGTTTAAGTAAACAACCTTTTTTGTGAAAAATGTTGACTTTATAGTAGAATCCATGTTAATTAATTACTCATCAGGCATTGAGGTTAGGGCTTTATATTTAAATGCCTCGATGTAATTGTTTAAGATTTCTGCCTAGTAAAATGTTAAAATGGATTAAATTTTTCTGCTTGGGAATGATTGGTATCTTTGGAATAGTTTGTTCTCCACCTTAAATTACAAATTGCTGATGTCTTTTGCTGAGATAAAAATCTTATCTGAATCTAGCATTTTCTTATTTGTGAACTAAGAAAGGAACTTGATTTTTTCATTTATCAAATTCAGTAGAGTGTTCTTCAGATTTTAATTCCTCTTTTCATTTTTTAAAAATAATTCTACTCCAAGTTAGACATCATTAATTTAAGTTTTCATCTTATTATTTTCATAAAACCTCAATTAAATTTCAGTTTTGATTTAGTTTTTTAATAATAAAGCACGTGATGTTTCAATTTAAGAAAGCTAATGCTTACCTTATATCAATAACTTACTCCTCTATTAACTATTTTTTCTAGCAATATCATTAACATCATCAGAATTAGATTTCATGGATTTACTAGATATCGTTTGATGATGCATTTATCTACTTGAACTATCCTATCCCTTACTATAATTTTCACTGTCAACTAAGAAGCCTTTGCTTTTGGTTTAGTTTAAAAAGGAATTTAATAAGTAATTTATCTAGTTTAAAGCTAAATTTGTTAAACCATATTTAAATAGCAAGGCAATGTAATGCAAGTCATATCCTTTATGTTTTTAAATAATTTTGGCGTACTGCTTCATTTTTTTAGTTACGAATTATTCCATATTTTAAGGGGAGAGAAGGCTAGAATCATAGTTAGAAAAATGTGCTAATTCGTCAACTTACTCTGATATTTTAGTTAAACTATTGGTAATTACAGCATTGAGAATTCTTTTTTATGTTTCATTAAAATGATCATTAATTAATTTTGTAAAGAAATATTTCAATTACAGTTGTTATTTAACTTACATGATGTTATTGCAGAGTATTTTTTCTTAGTATGTATATATTTCTATTAAAACCTTTGATATGCCTATGTATAACAATAGAATAATTGAGTTAGCATTTTAACTGAATTTTCTTTCATTTATATTGTAGGTAAGATATATTATTGATTAAGTTAGACCAAATGATGATATTATTAGAACTAAATTGATTATTTTATTGTTTGTGTACTAAAATTAATAAATTTATAATATCTTTATTAATGAAATTGTTATTATTAAGATACATTGCAATATCTATGCATTATTTGACTCTACGATAACGCCATAGACTATGATTTACAATATGAAAAGTATTAACTAAACATAATCTAAGAATGTTTAATTTAATTTTTGAAATCTGTCTTTTTTTAAATCTATAGTTTCTTTGCATAGCATGGATAAAATTATTCCAAATATTAATAAAAGTCCAAAAGTTAAGCAGATGAAAAATATATTAACGTAATTAGTTGCATTTTATGTCATGTCCATATTAATTAAAAGAGAATCCACACAAAAAATAGAAAAAGGAACAAACATTATGATTATAAATACTTGACAATATAATGAACTTGTTTAAAAAAATAGTTTTAACACCGAATATTGAAATACTTATTGCTTATGCTTTATATTAATTAGTAAAATAATTGGTATTGCAAATAAAAGTATTTGAGTTATTAATGCAATCAAATAAAATATGTGAGATTTCCCGAATTAAAAGTATATCAACTAATCTATTCTTGTAAAATAAATAGCAAAGGCTTAATAATTAATAGATTTGTCGTAAAATCCTATTTATTGAGACTTGAAGCTAGGGACCCATAAAAAAGTTAAGTATTAAATTTCTCCCAATATGATAACAATATATTATTAATACTCCTTGCAACTTGAAAAATAATATAATTAAAGTATTCTTTCATAAATTATCATTTTTATATTTATCTTCTTAGTTTAGGTTTCTTTAGTAATCATCTGCTCCAATAATTTGAATTTTTTTTTTCGTCTTTAATAATAATAAAAAAAGGACTTAAAATCGCTTAAATCAATTTTAATTTAGGCTTAAATCTTTACGAATGTAATAATTCATTCACATTTCATATTAATATCAAGATGATTGAATAATAGACAAAAATTTATATTTAGAATTAATCACTTTTTCATTCTTTTGTTCATAATTCCTTATATTTTATCCTGTAAAGAAGGGGCAGGACTCTTGGCTTATCTTTCTGGAACTCTATCTGTCTCTGTGTTGTTTTATTTCAGTTTAGTAAGATCGGCATTTATTTTATTTACATACATCAAAGTTTTGATTTGTTTGAGGATGTCACTTAATTATTAGGATGTTTATTGAAAAGATTCCAGAATTTAGTCATCATTCTTCGAGATATTATGTAATTCAACTAAGTGTTTATCAATTTGAATAAGTCCTTGAGTATATTGTTATTACATTATATTAAATTATTGAAAATTATCGTTATATTTAATTTTGAATGATCAGAACCAACTCTACTCAAAAAACAAAATAGGTTGTACTTTCAAACGGATAAGTTCAATCGCTGAGTCCATTTAATAGTGCAATAAGATTAAGCAGTCATTATTAAGAAGCTCCAAGCACACCATAGAGATAAATAGTTTCTTAAAATGCTTTAAGATTGATAGTTAATAATCATTAAGCAGAAGTTAGATAATCTAATGCTTTTACACCAAATGGCAAACAATAATAAGCAGGAAAGACCTATTAAGAGAATAGATCTGTGATAGTTCAAGATAACACAAGAATGCAATAATTAATAAATGATAACATGTACTTATCCCAAGCATTGGAACAAACAAAAAATGAATTGAAATAGTATCAACAATCTACACATGAAAGTCAATAGTTAGATTTCATTAAGGTGAAAATAGAGAGTCTCGAAAAGGTGATAGATGATTAAGCTTTGGAAATTGAACAATGGAAATAGAGATATCAAAAGGTTTGTACACAAGATCCTTAAGATTCGATGCTTTAAATGGAATCTTAGATTATGTTAGTAATATAAGAAAATGAAAGATTGAACATTTTAGTAAAAAATATTTAGGACTCAACAGATAAAAAGGATTAGTTAATTTCACAATAGGATTAGGAGATTAAAAAGCTTAAAGAAAAAATCAAAATATCAGATAAAACAATATAGAGTTAAAAAGAGGGTAAATTATATTAATTATTTTAAATAGAGATAAAATAATGGCATGATAACTTTGCAGAATTCGAAAAAAATTCAAAGTAGTAAGTGAGTCATGAATCTGAATTATTAAAAAGCAAAATGAAGATCTAAGAACTTGAATTTTAATTACATAAAAAGAAAGTCAGTGAGAATAATAATGGATAAAAATTGAGTTAAAGGAAATTTGATGAAAATCCAGAATTAGAACTTAAATTAAGATAACTATTAGAAGAGAATAATAAATTAACTCTTTTGATCGATAGTTTGTAAACTGAAAATACAAAATTAAAATCAACAAAGTAGAGTAGATCAACTAGTTGCTTTTAGTCAAATAGTCAATTATCTTAAGGAGTTCTCGAATAAATTAAATAAGTAATTGAATTTATGAATAAATTAGGAATTATTTAATTAATAGTTATTTAGCACTGAAGAGTTTAAGAAACTTAAAGTAATCTATCAATAGAATGAAACCTTGAGGAATCAATTAGATAATGCTAATGAATAAATTTCAATTTTGAAAAAAAGTCTTCAATATTATGAGGATGAACAAAATGTACCTTCTGATTAGCTCTTCGATGAATTCTTATAAAGCTAAAGTCATTGTTTAAACATGATATAACAATTATAATAATGATTTAACAAATTTAACTCTATTATTATATTATTCTAATTAAATGTGCATAGTTTGTGAATTATTATATATTTTTTTATAAAGAATCAATATGAATTTTAAAGAAGAGCGAATACTTGAATATCTCAATAATTTACAACTCTAAATTACTGATCCAACCTAGAAATAACAGGATTTCTATGAATCAAAAAAGCACAAAATTATTAACTTAGATCATAAACACTGTGACAGCGATCCATCATCCCCCTTTTCTCTTAGAGAAATACATAGCCCTGTATCTCTCTTTCATGCTTACAGTGTTTAATCTTGCGATATCAATAATCATCATAATCATAATCATCACAGTAATTAATAGATTCATCATGCTCATCATTCATTCAGATTGCACTTGAATATACATTCAGGTACTGAAAAGAAGGTAGAAATTTGATTTCGAAATCAAATGGATCTAACAATGAATAAATTATTTTGTATTATCTTTAATAATTCAAATTCATCTCTTATTCGCACTCACATCTAAATGAAAATATGAATAATAGAAGACTGGAATACTAAATAGCAGTATATATTGATATATATTTTAAATATTAAAATATCAAACTCCGTTTATTTTATACTCTTTATAAAAGTGAGAATTATTTATTAATTTATGTATTTTGGCAAGTACAATTCTACATTTAATATTGCATGATTCATGGGTTGTAAACATATCCTTTTACAAAGCCTTTCTAAAAGACTATGTGGATCTCTAATTAACCATTAGATTTCGCCGTAATTAATCACAGAAAATTTAATTTAAAAAAAAGTAATTATTATTATATATATTTTATAATTATGTATAAACTATTATTATAAATAAAAAATATCAAAACTTATGTGGGAATATGTAATAGCTATTAGTTCTTGTCTTTTGATTCTCATTTGCATAATAATTTCCTTTTTGAGAGTAAGTTATTTAATTTAATTAGGTTTTCAAAAAAAAGAAAGTACAATACTACAGTGACCCCGATGAAATGGCTATTGAATTATATTAAAATATGCTAAAATATGATACAAAACATTAAATTGCTCTAATAATGAATAAGATTTATATATTAGTTTTAAGAGATGTTTAAATTATACTATATCAATGTAAATTTATTGGCACAGCAAATAGTTAAATTGGGTTAGAATGATACTACTTTACCAATAATTTCAGAGAGATTACGAAATTCATCAAAAGTAATAGCTCTTCTGAAACTTATGTATCCAGATGAGATACCTGAAAAATTTAAATTGGTTGGAGAAAAAATTTATGAGGTAACTGTTATAATTCATTAGAATTTTACTATCTTTAAGATATTAATTTAATGGTGTGAATAAAATGAAATTAAAATAAAGAACTCTAAAGGATGGATGAATAGTTAGTTAGACATTAATTTAATTAATTCAATAAGGGCTTATTCGGAATATATTAATAATGAACTTGGAATTTACTTTAAACCAAAGTGAAGGATAATGATTATAAATTATAATATTCAAAATTTTAATGTTGGTTTCCAATATCAAAACACCTTATGATTGATAGGTCTAAAGTCAGCAAATTTCTTTTGTAGATCGGTGATGTCAGACTATTAGATATTTCTATATGATCAAAATTAATTTACCCAAAATTGATATTGTTTTAATCATTTCTTTTATTGTTTGGGTTATTGTGCACCAAGAAGTTTTTTAAGTAACATATGGACTCTTCATTTCTCTTAGTAATTTATTCCAATTGTTCAATCTTCTTGAGTTATTTAGAGCCATACTAAATTGAATAGATGGAGTATAATATACTTCTTATTATTATTTGTTCTCATAAATAAATTCCTTAAGTTGATCTTGAATATTCCTATTAGCATCATCTAGTTAATCTTGTCTCTGTTTAATGGTACTGATTTCTTTTTCAATTTTTTTCATTTTGACTTCCATGTTTCTATAGGAATCACAGATGTCAGAATTCGAATTCTTCTTTTTAGAGTCTTATCTGATAAGATTATTAAAAAGAGAAATGGAAAAGTTACTTTTAAGAGTGTCAGCCCCGCATATGTCATTTGGGGTCGAATCATTGGGTTATTTTTGATTAGTTGGTTTGTTACTGTAAGAAGGACCTCTTTTTCGATCAGGAGTAACATTTTATTTAAGTGTTTAACCTTATTAGTATTACAGATAATTTGATCCTTGTTTTTTTTAGAGTTCTTTTGTAAAACTCATTTGACTTTGAGTGGAAGACTTTTTGTAAGTTGCTTCATTTGTAGAGTTGAATGGTTTTTTGGATTGAAGTTCCTTTGTATTTGATCCAGATTTGACAATCTATTAGATTTGGTTGATTAGAGTAGAACAAGATGATAGGTTTTTGAAATTTTCTTTGTCTTATTATTGAGCGGGTTTCACATTGGACATATTCAAATCTTTGATCATTTGGGAATGCTACTTAGATGATTCAGTCGTTTGTTCAACAGAAGATATGAGATCATTTTATTCTGGAATTTGAAACAAAGTAGATCCTAGATTGATTCTTTTGGGATCAATTTTCTATTGTTGATATTCATCCTCAACTAAGCCAGCTATTCTAGCACATATAACTTGTTGAAAGTCATTATTAGATTAAGCTCTTCTATGAATTGTATTATTATAGTTCATTCAAATTTAAAATGTTAATTATTAAATAAATAATAATAAAATTTATTTTCTTACAGATATTCCTAAAGGTTGATAAAGTGGCTTATTTATAATCAAAATTTTGAAAGATTAATACAAATCAAAGTTGACCTCATTGACTGGAATCAAAGATGCATATATTTGGCTTTCATATCTCAAAAGATATTTTAAGATATTTTAAGTTGTTTTAATGAATTGAGAATGTCCCAAAAGAAGATTAAATAAAAGAGATTTATATGAATAAATATTGATAGGTTATTTCAGCCTGTTTGATTGTTTTAACAATTTAATATCCTTTCCTCTTTAATTATGCAATTTTATTTATTTTATTTTTTTCCATTTTCACATTTTTTGCAATGACATTACTCACCACATGCTCTGCCTTTGATAAAACATTCACAATAGTTAAGTTTGCATTTACTTTTTTTACAACAACAACCCTAACCCTTATCACCTGATAATTTTTATTTATAATCATCTTTATACTTGTGAATTATCTTCCCAATAGCTTTATTTCTTTCAAGATAATCATTTAAACTATTTTTACAACCATTACAACCACATGATTATCCACAACATTTTCCATCATGAAAGCATTAACAGTATAATTTTAGACATTTCGTTTTTTAACATTAACATCCTTCTTTAGTGTCCTCGCTATCATTCCCTTGTATTTATAATTTTGGAGGAACAATAAACATAATCTTCTTTTTCATTAAGGATGTTATTAGATATAAATTACCAAAAAACTTGATTATTTTATTAAAAAATAAAATGCAAAGTTATGTACCTGTGTACAATTTTGATGAAGCTTCTACTAATTAACCTAAAATTATCAAATAGTTAGACATTTATGAGAAACTTGAATAATGGGGGGAATGGCTATGGCTTAAATTTTAGGCTTTGCTCTGGATTTCAGCAGCCGTGACTATAATTTATTATTCAAACTTTTTTAAATAATTGTTTCATAATGAAAATATCAATGAGTAATCAAAACAATCAAATTAGACTGTTTTTTACATTTGCATTATTATTTATTGGCATGAGCATTTGTTTATCATTATATGTTGCATTCTATTTACCATTTATAAAGGGTGTAACTGAGAACATCGAAAAATACAACCCAATAGCGATATAATTGGGAGCTTTTGCTGGGTTTATGAGTTTCATAACGTATATAAATGTTGTCTCATTTTTTTAGTCTAACGATTGCAATTTGGCCTGTGTTTGGATGGTGGAGTTTCCCTATGTTATTTGCAATGGTTATGGGTTTCTTAAACACAGGACACTTCTTACCTAACCACCAAGCAAGTGGTCTGCTTTTCGGAGCCATATTCATTGGAGCATTTTTCTCACATTATTACATAGATCATGATGGTTTTATGCATTGAGTATAATTTTAAATATATAATCAAAATCAAATTTGTGTTTAACTTTAATCAAATTGATGACTTTTAATTAATTGTTACACAAATGTAATTTATTCATCTGTTATTTCTTAGTTTTAGAGATTATTTTCCAATTAAGAATGTTTATTCAATATTTTCCTTACGCTTTTCTTCTTTCTCCACTTTTTGATTGGGTATCTAAATTATTCAATCCATATGCACAGTGAGGATTTATTATGATGAAGTGAATTGTGGATTAACCTGTTGAAAGAAGTCTACAATTATTCTATTAATGTATTTGTTGTTGATTTCTTAAAGAATTTCAGTTGTGGTTTCTTTTGTAGTTTATGTTGCATTTAAACACTCTCCTTGAAGATAAATTGAGAAGTTTGATTGATTATTTTTATGATTGGATTAAACAAGACGATTATGATGATGCTCGTAATTAAAGCAGAGGAAAACATGTATCCAAAGAAGCCAAGTATGGTTCCCAAGAAGATGGATGACATTCCACTTTAGAAGGTGTCAAACATCTATTAAAATTACTTCTAATACTATGATAATTTGCTCTACCTAAATTAATATCATTAATAATTTACATGATTAAAACCAACCCTTCATTTTCCATAATCTTCGCATTTATAAGTTCTTCTTCTGTAGAATTGTGTATCTTCCTGCATAAATAACCAAAATCTTTCCAAACCATTGAATCACAATTGCTGATAGTATCAAGTTTATTTGCTTAATTAATTATTTATTAATAATCTTAATAATCTAAATGCGTTAAATTATAATCATATATGTAAGAAGATTCTGAAATATTTAATTCACTAAGCAAAATTCTACCGTCAGGATATATAATAGTGAAACTTACTTCGCTATCATGATATTTAAATTAAGTAAAGTTCACATGAGATGCTATAACTCCATCCAATGATCCATCAATATCCAGTAAACTTGCCGTTTAAGCAATCATCAATAATTTCCAAGTCCAATGAATATGAGGTTCACAAAAATAGGTGAGACTTTTATTATTTTTAGACAATTGTTCCAAATGATTAGTGTACCAAATTCGTTTTTGAGGATTGTAATCAAAGCCCAAATAAGAGCCTGGCCAAACAGTAAAAAAGTGAACATCTTCTGTTGATGCAAACATAATATCAAAATCTTGGTCGATCATTAAAACAGTCTCACTCAAAATACTGCATAGATCTTTAAGTTTTTAATACATCTCTCCTTGATCATCGCTGCTGTATACTAGATAACAAAACGAAGCACTATAGGCATATTGATCTATGAAATAATAATCGTTTAAACAGGGATAAGGTTTTGATGAGTTGGCCTAATGAAATTACTGAGTTAATTGATATAATTTATCCACTCTTAATATTTGTTGTTAACTTCTAAATAGGGTTTACTAGACTCTTTGGATGTGATGAGACATAATTGTTTTTGTCCATTTACCAAATTGCTTCTAAAAGGCTTGCTGCGATGATGACATTTATCTGTCCGATATATAAAACAGAAAAGTTAATGTGGAGAGAATAATTAATATGATTGCTATCGTGGTAAAGATGAATTGTATCATGCATACTTATGTACGTAATTACCAATTCCTCCAAAATCGATACTTCGTTGTATTAATAATCATTATTTTAAAAAATGCTTCATTATTTCAAAATTAACTTAGTTGATACTAAGTATAATTGTAAGGAATAGATACATTGTATAAAATTATTGAGTGAAAAATAAAATTAGTCTGATTATAAGAATAACATCCTTATTCAGCTAATATAGCACGAACATAATTTTTATAATAATATTTGCAATTATTCTTATATAAAAATACTTTATTTTTACACAACTTTTAAATAAGAATAGTGGATACAATAGTTATCAATTTTCACAAAAGGTCCAATCGTTTAATTTATTCCTCGTACTGATTTTGCTAAAAGTAACTTTTCTAGCAACCTTAGGTTCATGAAAAACTAATGGTTTTGGTGGCTTTAACTTTTTATTATAGCAATCTAACCAGTTTACATCATTAAACCAAGGATGACTTTTTATTTCTTTAGCATCTTCCTTGCATCCTAATCTCCGTTAAGGATCTCTAATCAACAATTAGATGATGATATCCTTGGCCTCTGGACTCAAATGTCGTGGTAATCTAAGAGGAGCTCTCTTTATATTTTCTTTTAATATCTCCTTCTCAGCATCATAATAAGGTGGAGCCCCCACCAATAACTCATAAATGAAGATCCCAAGCATATACCAATCAACTTAACGACCATGTCCTTTCTTCATTAACATTTCAGGAGCCAAATAAGCCAAAGTACCACAAAAAGATTGGTTTATCATTTCTTCATCAATCCCTTGTTTAGACAACCCAAAATCGGTTAATTGAGCATGTCCATCAATGTCTAAGACAACATTTTCAGGTTTAAGATCTCTAAAAATGATTCCTTATTTATGTAATGCTTCTAAGGCTAATGTAATTTCTGCAGCATATATTTTGACAATATCCTCTGGGAAATTGTTAACTAATTCTAAATGAGTTGCCAAATCTCCTCCAGGACACAGATCCATTACAAGATACAAATGATCTAAAGTTTAGAATGCATAATTTAATTTTACTATAAATGGATGATTCATAATCTTTAGAACATCCTTTTCAATTTAAGCAGACTTTATAATATTTGAAGTGTCTATATCTTCCTTCTTCAAAATCTTCATTGCATAATACTTTTTAGGCTCTTAACCTATTTTGTCAACCAGATATACTTAGCCAAATCCACCCTCTCCCAATTTCTAATAAAATTGAAAAGACCCTGGTCCAATCTTATTCTTTTCAAGTTCAGAGTTAGCTGTTTGTCCATTACCTTTAATCGAGACCCTAGAAAACGATACAGCAAAATCCATAATCTTGCCCCAAGTAGTTCTATTTTAATTAATATCTAAATTGGTGAGAGCTTAGTTTTATTATTCATTATTAATCAATTCTTATTTGATTTCATTTTCAATGTTCTTCTTCTGCTACTATTGAGTCAACTTTAACAATTTTTAGACATGATCTCTTCTACTGTTTTGCAACACCAAGTTTTATTCTTTAACAACAGTTCTAGTATAAGTAAAATTATTAAGCGATATCCCATATCTATTAAAAATTTCAATTATTCGAATATCTGAAGTCATCTCTATAGGAGTCAAGTGTTAGTAATTCTTTACATCATGGTTTGCTTTCTTCTCTAATAATATTGTACACACTTAATCATTTCCATGTAATGAAGCTATGTGTAATGGTGTATTTTGATCTGAATCTTGAGCATTTAAATCTGCTCCAAAGTTGATCAACAAGTCGCAGATTGTCAAATGGTTCTTCATAGCTGCAACATGCAATGGGGATTTCCCATCCAAAGATAGTAACTTTGGATTGGCTTATTAATGCAATAGGAGTTAAACGATCTCAACATTGCTTTATAGACAGGCAAAATGAAGGGGAGTCCAATCATCCAAATCTCTATTTTATTATAACTTCAAGTACCTTATATTTAAATCTATGTAGAATTAAGGATGAGCCAGGAGTTCGTATACCTTATTATTCTCATTTGATTGGACTAATGACACTAAGTGCTCGCTAATTTCTCTGCTATGTTTCCAATAATTCTTCCAAGCGACATCCTTTGAATCTGCTATCGGAATTTTGTACTCTTCTAATTTCCTACAATCTATAGCAAGTCCTGTATCTCTATTTAAAATCTGGAACTCCTTCTCATCTTCTGGAATTGTTTAGAGCTACGGGACTTGACTTGTCTGATAGGTTTTCTAAAATGCCTAATAGCATTCCTCAGAGTATCTAAGAAATAGGGACTATACGTATACTATTAAGATGCAGGAATGGTAAATTCATTTTACTCATATAAATCAAACTAATCTAAAGACTTCGATATTAAATCGAATCTTTTCAAAAGTTACTTTAGTGTTAAAAAACATAAATACTTCTTTCGACATTTTTTAAAATAATTTAAGCTGATTAATTTTTATAATAAACCAACTCTTTATAAGTAAATGCTTATGTAGCATAATAAATATATTACAAATAAAATTAAAATAAAGTGACGAGTTAATTTCAAATTACTTTCATTTAAGTTCCTCAATTTTCCTTTCCTCAATTCCAGAAAAACCATTTTCCTTTTTACTTATCATGTAATAAGATTCAGAATGTCTTTTTAATAGTTTCACTAAATCCATATCATGAGTGATTATTATCAATTAAATTTATTATTCATGTTATTTCATCAATTCTATCAATGAGTTAAGTTGTTCAGCCAATGCTAATTTATTACATTGATTTAATACTTTTTATATGTTTTCTATCCAAATTAGATGTTGGCTCATCCAGTGCCAAAAAACAACAATTACTACCAAAACATTCCGCCAATGCCATCCTAAAGACTATTGATGCAAGCATCTTTTAACCCATAGAACATCTCCCTTTCATATCTATTTCTGTATTATTCATTGTTCTCATCACCAATCTATAATTATATTTTTTTGAGATCTTCTTTTAATTTGGAATTTCATCGAATTTTACTTCTATGAATTTAATGTCTTACCCGTTGTAGATTTTCTATCTTTAAAAATAAATTAATACCTGCCAAGTATCAAATAAATATTTATTGATTTCTTTCATTTTTTAACCATGACATTCAAGCATTGTAGCTTCTAAAATTTATAAATATTTTTTTAAATCACTTATAAATTATTAAGTTGCCACATATTCACATAATAATTCAAGTCTTTTTTGTTCTGATCCATCATATCTTCTATTGATATCCTTTTTTAATTCCAAAGCTGATTAAAAGCTTTATTCTAACTTCGACCTTCTCAGATCATATTCTAATCTAAATTTATCCTTTTTCGATATATTTAATTGTTATGATTAATACTCATCTTATAACTTTTGAATTTCTTATTGTAGAATCTCTATCTGCTCATTTAATTTCTCTTCTGCTTGATCTAGGTCTTACCACTTTTATAATTTTTATATGTAATCTTATAATTCTTAATATTATTTTAGCTTCTATTGCTTTTAATGAATATCTAATTCTAATTGCTTCATTTTATCGGTCTCATTTTAGATTTCCAATTATACTTTTTATATGTAATCGGCATATTTATAGTTATTCTTACTTTTATTCATCAAGTCTTATTTCTTTAATATTTTCTATTCGAATTAAGGTTATATTGCTTCCAAATTATTCAAGAGCTGTTTCTTGTTTAGAATAGATTCCATATATTGATCATACTGCAACTTGTGTTCTAATTCTAATTAATTCAGCTGAGATTCTATCTATGTGATCTCATATGATTTATCATCAAAGTCTTATATCACTATTTTTTAATTCTACAATCTCAATTGATTCAACTCGGTTTAAATTCTTAGCATACTATCTTGTAATTATTTTGGATTTTCATAATTCTCTTGTAAACCCTCATATTACTTAAGTTTATTTTGAATATCCATTTTAGCTTTCTAAAGTTAGCTTTAATTATGAGGATTATTTGTTAATTTTAAAGAACCTTTCAAAAATGAATTCTCTTTTTCCATTTATATTTTTTGAATTAACAATTATTCCTTTTGGGTTTCTTCTTCATTCCCAAGTAATTGTCTCAATACCGTAATATCCTATAGATTTTTTTCCAGTTACAACAGAGAATCATTATTAACTGAATCTCTTTAAGTTGCCTAAATCTCTGCTATTTGTGAATCTAATTATCTAATTTTTTCTAAATGTTGATTATTTTGAATCCCTTACTTAATCTTCTCTTTTTCAGCCTTTAGACTATTGATTTAAAGTTCAAATTCATTAATTTTAGATTTAGTTTTAGGTAAATTTTGTTGGACTCTATGCTTTAATAGTTCAAAGCAACTTTAATCTGTAGGTTTAAGACATAATAAGCATTTTCCAGATTGTTTGGAACTAGTAATCTTAATAATTATTTATATATACATATTGATCAATAAACTCCGTTTGATTGAAGATGTATTTTATTTTGTTTTCTTTGACTTCTCTAAGTTATCTTTTTACGTTTTCCAATTCAAAAGGATCATATTTAATTGCTTTATTGATAGATAATTGATTTTTCAATTCTTCTTTTTGATCGTTTAATATTTTAATTTATGCTTAATCCTTAGCCATTTAAGTTTTAATTGCTTAAATCTTTTATTTAATTGACTCTTCACATCTTGAAATAGAGATGTCTCGCTCTAGCTTTGATCCATTTAATTTAATCATTGCTCTCCATCCATTTTCCCTAATTAATAAATCAATTTATGTCGATTTTGAGGATATATTCTCCTCTAATTCTGATATTTTCTTAACTATCTCCTGGTACGAGCTAATTTGTGAATTCTTTTATGTGATATCATAGCATTCAATAAGATCTTAGTTGATTTATTCAAACTCTTATTTTAACTTTAGCTTCTCCTTAATTTACACTTCTTATTATTCAGCCTACCTCTTTTGGAAAGTTAATTATTAGAGTAATAATTCCTTATTTTTAATATCTTTGTTCATTTAATCTTTTAATTTAAGTTGTTCATTTCTTTGATTCTCATTTATCCTAACTTCAATTAGACATTTCTATTTCTTCTCATTTAAATTAGATATCTTAGTTTAAAAGGCAGATTGCATTTCTTGTTAAGTCTATTACTCTGACGATTATTCAAGTTTATTATAAGATATCTTCTCTTTAACTTGCTTTAACAAATTTTCATCAGAAATATTATTAGAGAACATAAATAGAGACCTGATGGAGTCTCTAATTAATTTAACTTCTTATTTCAATGTTTCTATTGAAGTATCAACTTGTAGTTCTTATAATTCGATCTTTTTATTTTCTACATTAATTTCAGTAGATTTGAGAGTATCCTAGGCACTTTTCAATTCAATTTCTAGTTGTTTGAGACTTGAAATCACAAAATCCTATTAAGATAATTGATTCAAGTCGATATGATCCAATTGCAATTATAATTTGTTCTCTTACATAGAATTCCTACAGGCAATCAAATCGGCACATTCACTCATTCTCTGTTATATGATATTGAAATTGATGTTTGAAATCTATATTTGATTCATTTAAGAATTAATGTCTTGAATTATTTTAATTTCCTAGACTTTTTCTTCTAACTAATTTTATAGATTAGTTCTCTATCTTTGACCATCATCCATGTCTCTTTTAGAGAATTCCACTTTCTCCATAAGCACTTTGGCCTTGCTTTCAGCTTCTTTTAGTTATTCCCTGAGTCTAACTTCAATGCTAACCAAATCAGTAGTTTCAAAAAGTTCATCAAAAATACCCTTTAATGTTGAATTGTCACTAAACATCCAGAGCTATTCTTCTTGATGACACAAGAGAACATTATTCAAAATAGGTACTGAAACTCCTAGAAAACAAGGAATTTATTTTTCTATATTGGCACAAGTGGAATGCAATGTTTCTAATTTATCAGTCTCCAATGATCTAGTTTATAAAGTAGATCTAAGTGAAGAGAATTTACAAGAATTTGGAGAATCATATACAATACTAAAATGTCTACGAGCAACAATCTCACGATTATTAATGGACTTAAAACTAAGTTCAATACAGGCATCAGTCTTGCTTTATCCAAGCAAATGACTATCTGTTAAGAAACTCCTGCCTCTAAGTGAATAGAAAATGTTGTTTACTTCTCGGAATTAGGAGGTTGCATCCCAGTAGTGATGGTTCGGAGTGCTTCAATAATTGTCTATTTTAATTATAAATGGGTACTGTCTTTCCACTTCCATTATGACCCCAAATTAGAGTGAGAGGTTGCTTAAAATAGATTGATTACGACTATTAAGCTGCTCTTCTATTGTCCTCCTTTACTTGACCAACATGACAATAACTTCTAATTCCATCTAATTTCAAGTGAAGTAGAGATGACATTTTTAAAAATTAATTTATAAAATTACGCGGAAAATGAAAAAGCAAATTCTCCAGTCAGGATAGAAGGTCATTACTATTGATGATACTATTAACTCAAAATAGCCAACACCTGTATAACCAGTTGTTTAACAATTATCTGCCTATCAAATATTTATGAAGGATAAGAAGGAGGAGGGCAAATTCTCACTTCAAGTTCTTAGTTAAATGTGGAAGGATTTACCTCAAGATTACAAAGAATAGTAATACATATTAAATATTCAAGAGATATTAAGAAAGGGCCAGACAATTGAAGGAGTAGGTTTAACAAAATTAATTGCCACCTCCTTAAAGTATGTCTCTTCTATTAATAAATTAAAAGCATTCTTCCCATTGTCTAGGTTGAAAACCATTCTCAAAGAAGATGACTAGAAGCCTCAATTCAAACCAGAAGCTTATCAATATATGTTAAAAGCTATTGAGGAATTTGGAGAGCTTTTACTTAACAAAGTAAAGGATCAAATTAAACAAGATTAACGAAAAACAATCAAAGAAGATGATCTAAGTAATCATACTTTATTAATAATCCAGTAACTGTAATCAAAGAGAATCAAGAATTACAATTTCTGAATTGTTTAGCCAGTCACCATTAAAAAAAGAAAACGAGTTAAACTCAAAATTAATAAGGCAAATCAAAAACCTCAGGAGCATTAGACAAATTTTTAGAAAATAATAATGGCATATGATTATTCAAATAGCAATTTCATCTATTTTTAATTCATTTTTCAAGCAAAGTATATTTCATCTATGTTATATCGACTTACTAGCTATGCTAATCTTATTATTCTAATTATTTTATTCATTAATTTAAACTATTTTCAGTGAATTGATTTTTCTATAATGATATTCATAAAAATAGACTTACATTTCAAGTTATTCCAAAATATCTAAATTCATAAGAATTGTTTCCTATATAAAGTAGTTTTACATTTGTTAATACTTCTCTTGGCTTACTTTCACCAATTCTATATATCTAGAGCCTTCGTTTATATTATAAGTAAATTGTATTTATAAGATTATTCCTTCAGATTTTAATTTGAACCATGATAAACTGTAAAGCACAATAATAAATTTATTTGATTACTCCCATTATATTTTGATAAGATTAATTTTGATATTTAGTTTATCAATTAAGAAAAATCCAAAGATACTAAATACTCTATAATTCGGATGGATTATTTGAAGAATTATAATTACATATCTTTTTATATCTTATGGACTATAAAAATTAATAGAAATATTTTAATCATTTAAAATATGCTTATATATTATACAAATTAATTCCATTTATCATATAAGTTAAAATTTTACTTAGTATTTTTTCTACAATATATTAGTTATTTCTTTGGATGTGCAAGTTCTTCTCTCAGTCGTACAAGTTAATTGATTATAAATTCCAAAGGAACAAGGTCTAAATATTTGTAAAATTTCATTACTCCATGATAATTTATAAATCTTTGTTATTTATCTCAATTTATTTCATGAAGATAGAGAGTAATCCATTATTAAGATGTTCTTCAGTTATTTCTAGATTTTATTCTGAGAATGTTGGAAAATTAATACTAATCTATGTTCCTTTCTTAAATTCTTTGTAATCAAAATCCTCTGGTTAAAGATCAAATGTAGTAATTAAATATTCATCTACAACTTATTTCACATTTTTTGATCCTAATTAGGTTAGAAATTCATTAAATTCCTGAAAGCTTGGAGAATACAATTTAACAGTTTTTTATGACACTTTTTCTTTAATTAGAAATTAGATTGGTAAAAAATCTACACAATAATAAGTTTTTGGATCCTTTTAAGCAACACATTTAATCATTCTCTTACTCAAAATCTTTTGAGGAAATTCACTTTTTTCTATATTTATAGATATCCTTACTTTCATTTATTATTATTGCTAAATCTGGGATTGTTGGTTTGGTGACTAATACTCTTTATTAGGATTCTATTTTTTATGGTATTGAGATTTATTAAGAATTTTACTATTAAATTTGCACTTTCTATTCAATTTTTTATTCTACTTTAACTTAGTTTTCTATTTATTAGAATAATTTATTTTTAAGTAATGTAAAATCAACATTTATCTCTGAAACTATTTCAGCAACTTAAAAGAAATTATTATTAACCAATTCATATAACTTCTATGGGGACAATGATATAATTTAAACATATTGATAATCTTAAAAATAAATTTCCAGTTTTGGATGATGAATTTTAAAATATCCTTATCCAGTTTGATTTGATACAATTGAAAAAGGTACTTGAAATTCTTCGTTTGAAAATTTACTAACTTTAGTTTTTAACTAATGTAATCCTTTATGTTTCAAGGCTACAGTATTCAATTCTAAAAGTTATAAATTTTTGATAAAAAATCCGATGTAATCTTGATGAGTATTTAGAATTTGTAAAGTTGTATAAAAATTTAAAATTAGACTCTTCGATAATTTTCTATTAACCTGGTCATCTTTCTCCTTGATCCAATCTATTTCAAATGATTTGATCAATGCTAACACAGGCATTTAATTAAATTTATATATTTTCTTATAAAACAACCTTTCATCTTTTTTTACTTCTTCCACATCTTCTCCATCAGTCAAATCAGCAACAATGTTTTTCTCAACTGGCTATAATCTAGTGCCTATATGTCCAAATTTTTATGATAGGTGATAACTAGATAATCCCTAGAAACCTCTATCGCAAGATGTTCCAAAGTTTCTCGTATTGTAATCGAAACTATACATAAATCCTTTATTTAGATATTCGATTTATACTTTAAACTGCCATTTACTTGGAGTTACCCTAAATCACAGATCTCCTTTCTAAATGAGGCAAGATCTTTGATTCATTCCTATAAAGATTATACTAATTTAGATACTAAGAATGACGCTATTATGTATTTCTTATGTGATTGGGATCTAGCAGTTTTTGCTGATTAGTAATCAATTTTGGTAATATCTCAATTTAAGTACTATGATTATTCATTAATAATATAAATGTAAATTGAAATAGAGAAAATTATAATTCTTGTTGACAGACTAAATATGATGGGTTTATAGTGTCCCATAAGCTATTAATTTAATTCGGTTTAGAGTTCTTGTTAATAATGTTTTGGAATACAGAAAATTGAATCAATTATAAAAAATGATTGAAGAACTATTATGTAAAAGAAAGCTATATCTAACGAAAAAGTAGTCCCATATCAATAGAATTGGATGGGGGTTTTGATATTATTTTAACTGTCCCATTTTAGTTGATAATTTGTTAAAAATTATTCAAATTATTCTTTTAATCAAAAAGCACCAATCGCTTTGATAGAATGATGTAATAGATTAAGATTATACTCATAATTTCTATATAATAAGATTCTTTATATTTTAGAATAATCAACTTGTATTAAATATATTTCAGAATCTTAAAAAATACTCTATAAATGGTATTAAAATGGGAGTGTTGGCACTATATTCCTAATATGCATATCCAAAGAATTGATGTAGATAATATTCCTCTAAATAAATTCTTGAAATGAAAAATTTATATAAGACAGGAATATAAGCAATAAAAGCAATAGGATTCAGTAAAACTATTTATTATCCCAAAGAATAAATGAAGAAACCAAAATAACTAGGGTGTCTGCTGATTCTATTAAAAAATATGATGAAAAATAATACTTGTAAACTCCAGTTGTAATCAAGACATGATCTGATGCTTTTTTACTTTAAACTTAGTGATGGAAACTTTGTTTGGCTGATATAAAAGCTCCAATTCTAAATGAATGTCCAACGAATGTCATTAATAGACCAATTAAAATGAATAAAGAATGATCCTTCTGGAAAAAATAGGATTCTGCAAAATATTCAGATACCGAGAAAGCAATGGCTATATTATATCCAAAACTATGATTGATTAAATAACCTAATTAATAATATCTATACTTCCCCATTTTAATAAATTGAATTTATAGAAGGCAACATGCAGCATTTCACCCATATGAAACAAGACTTAATTTAATAAGAAAATGCTGAATCCTATATAATTTTCTTTGATAACCCAAGCAATATAAACAAGGAATCCAAATACAACACATGTTGCATTGATTTTTGAAATTTCAATTCCTAATTGTGGGTAAAATTTTGGACTTATTTTCCAAGTTAAGGAAAATAATGATCCAAGTATTAAAATCTGGATTAGCACATTATCAAATAGAAGTAACAAAGTAAGTGTTAGGACTATGATTATCCATTATATTAAATATATTTCTTTATTTATTAACATTATTATTATAATTAAATTAGGAACGAGAATAAATATATCATTTAATATGAAAGTGAAATTCTAATTATGGGAAATAAGAAGATTGATTTTTAAGAGGTTTGAAGATCATTATATCTCTACACATTTCTGATAATTTAATTTATCTATTAGAATAAGTACTATAGTCCTGAATAAGAATTTCATTTCCAGATTTCTTGTGATTTTTCAATTTCTCAGATCCAATATAACTTGAATAATTTCTCATTCTTGTAGTTTTTTATGAAATTTATCTAGGTTTATTTTATTTTTAATTTAATTATTAGAAGTATTGTTCCATAAGAGATTTAAAAGAATGCTTTTATTGAAAACTTTATGGAAACTAAGCAAATCTATCATTACTGCATAAGGAGACTTCCTAGTCTTTTTTTTTTGATTGCATTGATTAACTAACCTTCTTATTCCTCAGTTGATTAAACGATCTTAATTTTCTTGGTTGGATGGGCATGATTATGTCGTGTTGTTTTAAAGGATCCTTATCGTCTAGGTGATGAAATTAGGTAATCTCACTTAAATCCAGCTTGTTCATAGAATCTTAAATAATTAAAAATATATAATATCTGCTATTTTCATTTTTATAATCAATTTAATTATTTTGAAGAAAAACTCATTCCTTAAGATTGAGTTCTTGTTCAAGCATTTGAATGGTAATAATCTAGATTAAATAATGAAGGAAGTATACATATTATTTGATTTATTATTCTTGACTCTGTATAATTTTGCTGGTCTATTCTTCAACCAATAGTCTATTTTTCTTTTCTTCATTCAATTATTTTTGTAATTGGATCACGGATTCATAATGAAAAGATGGTTTATAAAAGTTTTGGGAAGAATTCAATTGCAAGGATAGAGCTTTGATTAATTTTTCGCAATTTTAATTTAATTGCTTTTGCCATGAAAGCAATAGAAAGGAATTAATTTAACTACATTTTTTTTTATTAATTTATTCTCCTATTGACTTGAGATTCTTCTACACCTTGTTGATTACATCCTCATCGTTGTTTCTTAGCCTAATGCTGACATCTCCTAACTCAGCATTGGTCTCATCTTGTTTATTTTAATCCTACTGAATATTATCTAGATTGCAATTGCTATTAACCCTTGAAAGTTAGGAAAGGCTATTATAGTTAAATTTATTAGAAAAAGATTAGGATTTTGGTGGAGAAATGGGAGTTGCAGCTCTAAATTCGCACGTGGTCCTAGATATATTTTATTATTGTATATTCCCTTTGATTTTTGAAGAAATCAATTTAGAGATCACTGATTGCTAATTCGAAAACATTCCAATAGATAATTTAGGTGAGTTAAGAATGTATTTCTATTTTTTATGTTTATCTGAGCTATTTTAATGTAGCATAAAATAAATATTTAATAATTTTTATTCAAGTTTTTTTTGAATATTAAATAAATACATCATCTTTGACTAATCAATGCACTAATTACACATCAAATAATTTGTAGTTATTATAATTTTGCATATATAAATTTACTTTTTGAAATAATAATAATATTTAATTCAACTTTAATTAATTTAAGTAATTTATAATGAATTGAAATCAAATATTGAGTTTTCTAGTGATAGACAATATTTTTGGAGAATTGGATGTCTAAAAAGAATAATAAATGTTAATAAAGTTGATCAGGTGAAAAAACTTATAAGTTAATGATATGAGAGATTTATTAAGTTTAGATTGAATAATCCTAAGAACTAGGGTATATGTTGTGAATATAGTAGTGATATTATAATTTGAGTTGGATAGTTTTTAATTTGATTCAATTATAATATTATTTTATTCAAAAAATGTTATTTGTAATACTCTGTTTAATTTCCACTTTAAAAGCATAAGATGAAGATGAAATTGAATATGATGTTGTTGAAACATTACAAAGTGCTTGTAGATGTAGTTAGATTTTGAGTGAACTTGATTGCAAACAATTTTGTTTTTGGGTACCTAATTCTGATGGTAAAACTGGAAAATGCAGAGATAGATTATGTAGTGATTATACAGATAAGAGTTCATGCAATGGGGATTAAAAGAATTTATGTTACTTTAATTAAGAATCAAATCTATGTAAAAATTTAAGAGGAGACTGCAATAGTCTAGAAACTTAGGAATAATGTGAGGTTAAAAAAGATAATGACAAATAAAAATGCCTATGGTAAAATTAGCCAGATGATGAGGGTGTTTAATGTTAAATTTTGGAATAACCAGAAGAAGAAATTCCTGTTATTTGCAATGACATCAATTAACAGGAAGTTTGTGATTAAAGTACAGAATCTAATAGTGGTTACTAATGTGCTTGGCTATTAAATCAAATTGACGAAGGATCAACTTAAACTGCTTCATCTAATGATTCAACTACTAGACTCTTAAAGGTCGATAACACTGGGCATTGTTCAAGATTCTCTGTTAAAAAATGTACCGATGTGAATAATATTGATGCTGACGATTCAATCAAAGAGATGCTTTGCAATAGATTTTCAGATACATGTAGATACACTATTCAAACATCAAATGGCATCACTGTAACAGGAACTAATTTCAATCTTGTTTCCTATTCTTGTGAATAACGAACTTGCAAAGATTATGGAACCAAAGAATTATGTGAAGATAACTATTTTATCCCTGATTTTGAAGACTATCTTCATTTATGCAGTTGGACATCTGAGTCTTGTGTTGAAGGATTAGTAATTGAAAAATTTACTCCATTGAACAGTCAGGATAACTGCTATAAGGCAGAAACTCGGTATTAATTGACATGGAATCAGGAAATCAATAAGTGCACTAAATGTCCAGGATAAGGATATATACTGAGTTTACTATTCAGTCTTTATGTTTTGGCATTATGATAATATAGATTTATTTATTATAAGACAGAACAATTTTTAAATTCTATTATAAATTTAAATAAAAAGTATAGAAATAGAATTCAATTCTTGTCAAGGTTCATTAAACTACCTTCTGCAAGTAATTTTTCAATCGTGTTTTTTAAATTAGACTAATTTCCATTCGAATTGATAATAATTATTTAGAGCAATCCTAAACAATCTCTAATTGCTGCACAAACAATTTTTTGTTAGAATTTACTAAATGGATGCTCTATTCTTAGTTTCATCGCTTCTCTTTCAAATTATTTATTATTTAATCCACTTACTTTCTTACTATTGCTTGTCCATATTGAAGCCATTCTTTTAGAAACTTCAATAACACATTTTACAAACTATTCTACGCTACTAAAATTATCTTTATTTAGATTGTTTAAGACTTGTTTTAAATCATTTTAATTATGAATGATCTTGAGATTTTCTTAATTACTCATCAATTCGAATAGTGTATCAAAAGTAGTAGTATTTTTAGGATATGTTGATTTCAACAATTTCTCCATTTATTCTCTTATTTATTCATTAACTTCCTCTTTATTTAGATTATTAATAAGAATGCCTTCCTAAAGAACGGAAACAAAGATATAAGAAAAAACTTATACATATTCCTTAGTATAGCATGATTTTTATTGCATACTCTCTAAAACATCTATGCAGTCTTCGAAATCTGGATGTTTTTAAATTACACATTTTAAATGTTATATTGCTTCATCATCAGCCTATTTCATTTACATAGCAATCGAATATCGTATATGATATTTTTCAATGTTCTCATTTAAAGTGCAAGCTTTATAAAACATTTCAGCTGCTTCTTTGAAATCTTATTAAAAATACAGTAATTGTCCAAGTTCAAAATATATCTCTGATTATTAGTCATCCAATTTCAAGCCTTATTAGAGGTCTTGTATTGCTTCATTGTATTGCTTGAGTTAAATTCTAATTTTTGCTACAGATTTAAATTTATAATTACATCTTTTAAGATAAAATTCACAATTTTGATTATTCAAAGTTATAAGCTCGTCATATAATATCTTTGCACTTGCATAATCTTTGATTTGTTCACACATTTAAGCCTTTTCTATGTAATATAAAGGGATCTTTCCATCTTCAGTTATCAGTTGATTATACAATTTATTTGCATATTCATAATTTTTATTATCTCTGGCTTCGTTAGCAATTCTAAGTTTTAATTCTTAATTATTAGAATCTATCTCCATGGCTTCTTCAAAATTCTGTTTAGCGGATAAATTTTAACGTAGTTTCAAATGGCAAAACCCTATTATTTCAAAATGATAAATACCTTTTTCAAACAATAACATCGATTTCTATTTTGGGTCTAAAATGTATTTAATGATCTAATCATAGCATTATATTGCTTGGTTAAACAATTTTAACATGCTTAAACAAAATCCTAAGATTTATAATAAAATATACCTTTATGCTTTATTGCCATGAAATTAGTTTAATCGTAAACAATTACTTTGTTAAAGTCATCTAAAGCTGCTTAGTAATTTTATTATTGCATAAACGCAAGTCCTCTAAAAAAGTAGGTTGAATAATCATTAGGATCAATTGTTAGTAATTAATCACAATATTCTCTTAATTAGGAATATTGTTAGAGAGTGCTCTGAATTTTAATTATCATTTTAAAAGATCTTATTTCCTTTGGGTAATAAGAGTGAATCTTCTCAAAATATTCTAAAGATTGGTTTAATTAGTTTAAATTGAATAGACTCATTGCTATTCCAAATAAACCTTCAAAATTCTTGAAGTCCAGTAATAATACTTCATTACATAAAATAATTGACCTATCAAACAACTTCTAAGAAAAATAGGCTTGACCTATAAATAAATTAAAAAAAATTTTACTTTTGCAATTTAATATTACAATCTTAATTTATGGAATTTATTGTTCTAATTATTGATCACAAAACTCATGTAAGTTTTCATATTTTTTTTAAATCATGAACAAATTGCATATAGATTGAATGGCTTCAAGATATACAGGATCTTATTTTAATGCCTGTTGGTACAACTCTAAAGCTTAGTCGTATTTTTATTGTTTTACTTTCAAATGACCTAATTTCGACACATCAAATACCGTAATTTAATAGTACTCCTTTGTCATTTTATTTTAATTCCAGAGCTTTTTCGTAATAGCCTTGTGCTTTCTCGAAGTTGTTTAGCCTCGTTAATACAAAAGCCATTCCAAAATACCCCTCAAATGATCTTTCATTCATTTCCACTAATTTAGTAAACACATTAAGAGCCTCTTAATACTTTTTGTTCAATATGTATATATTCCCTAACATATACAATTTTATATACCAATTTCGGCCATGGCCTTCGAATGTTGTTTATCTAGTTAAGTTGCCTTTTGACAATAATACAAAGCCTTTTGTAGATTATTTTATCCCAGATGAGCCAAACCTAAAATCTATAAATACTATTAGTACCTTTCAAGTACTACGCCTCAGCCATATTTGGAGATCTTAGTAAAATACGATCAATTAACTCTATCGCTTTCTCATATTGTTAACTTCTCAATAGGTTAAATGCTTCCATAAAATGCGATTAATACCTTTAACTAATTGGGCATTATTGTTTAATTTGTGAATTTAAGTTGGGCTAGCTAACTTATCGAAATCTATAATTAGTAACTAATAACATACTTGCTAACGATGACTTACAATTGACAATAAAACTGTTACTACTTTGATTGCTTTTTGCTTGGCTTTAACCCATTAAAATAATTTTTGATTTATGTATCGATTAAATCATTTCATTTATAACATAAAAACGTAAAATAGTTCATTGTTATTAATATAATTCAAAAAAGCTGTCAGTCGTCTTTATTTTAAATAACCCACTATTTGTAAATTATTCATTAAACTTTAAATAGTTAGTTTTAGCATGAGACCCAAATTTAACTATTTGGCTTGGTAGAGTTTCATAGTTTTTTAAACAAAACTTCCTTATATTTCAGTTGGAAAATATGGTATATATTGGTCTGTATATGAATTTGTTGTGATTAATTACGCTCTTGTTTAGAATCTAAAGTATTTGTCATATGAAAATCGCAAATATTTCAAAATTAATCTATGTATCTTGATAATAAGATAAATAAAGATGAGAGATACAATCTTTGGATTTTGAAATAATAGTGAATAAGAAATTTCCAGCAGCTTTCTAATTCAAGTACTTACTGAATTCTGCTTAACAATAATTTTAAGAATATTTTGGAGACAGTTATTTTAAATATTTTTCAGATCATAATTGTAGTATATATAATAAAATTATTGTTAGTTAGTAAATTTCCTTTTAATATTTAAAAAAACTAAGAAAATATCAAGTACCATATTAATTGTGTGACATTTCATCATAAAAATAAGGGTTAACTTCAACCAAACTTATTCTGACTTTTAATATAGTTTATGTTATAATATAATTGAGCCTATAAAAATGTTAATTAAATTTGTAAATTAATTCATTGTTGAAATAAATTTCCAAATTTTTATTTTGAGAATTAATTACAATTTACTCATTGTCCAAATGGTTATTAATCTATACATCTTTGATTTCTTAGAATTCAATTCAATAATTGCTTTTAGATTTTTAAGATTAGTATATAATAATTGAAAATGAAAATTTATGTAATAACGTTGATATGAGAACAATTGAAAATAGATACAATAAACTATCGATCGCGTCGCTAGAAGATATCCCATACCAATAAGTTTTTATAATCCGTATAGATTATCAAGAAATACTTAATTTTAAAAAAAATGCTTAATCTAAACAACTTAAATCATCAAGGTATTTATTTGTCATAGATTTTTTATTTTAGCATCTATGATTGATAATTATATATTTAATTTTTTTAAGTATTGAGACTGTTATAAATAAATTATGTATGTATCTCTTAATGAATAATTATAGTCAGATGTTACAACTTGAGGTATTTGTATCCATAAATTTGGAACCTAAAATAATATTAGAGTAATCGCAAATGAAAAATATACAGAAGTATGCTCTCATTGGTTAATAATATATTTAAATATAATTATCATTACTGCTATTGGTTTCTCTGAAGGTTCATATGTATTTTTAGGTCAGCCCTACAGGTTGGACAATTCTTATTAATATATATCCATGCGAGAAGACATTCTTTATGAAATAAATGTCTAATTTATATTTGTAAATTACTTGCATTTTGTTGATCTGAGATCTGGTTTACTAGTGTAAAGATCAAGACAAATTGGACAGATATCTGTGTTTTTGATTTGATCACTTTCAATCTAAGGCAGCTGCTGTAAGATTTCATCATCAAAGCTTTTTGCTATGTATTTCTTTTCATGTTGCATCTATCTAACCATAGCTAAAGCAGATATAGCTTCTTTGATTTTCTTATTTCTAAAGTATTTGCCAATTGCGAACAAAATACTTAGAATCATTATTATACCAGCAATCGAGGCAACTATAATTATTACTGTAGTAGTTGAAATTGTATTTTAAGTATTTTAATTGATGAGATCCATAGAAATATGAACATCTTATTCGACTAGAGATTTCTATTTGAAAATAAACCTTATTCTGCTTTGAATGAGTGTGCTATTATCATTTCTGTCTTTTAACTCAAATTCAATAGGCGATGAAGATGTAATTTCATTGCCTTCTACTAAAAGATCATAATATTTTCTATTCAAATCTTCTAGGGCAGGTATGTAAAGTACTCTCGTCTTCATTATATACAAATCAACTCCTTCAGAACTGTTAGTCTGTTACATATTATTATTTTAAATACTTTAACTATTAAACTCATAGACTCATTTTCACTTTCTTCTAAATCTACATAAGCATACTTAACAGTATTTTCTAAACTAAGGATTATTTCTTTGTTTTATTGAATATAAATTGCCTTTTAATGGCAATCATTCCCTATGTAATATTTATTGCATAAACATTTTCCATCCTAAAAAGTAAATTTATTGAGTACTTAGCAACTGCCTTGATTGTTGCAGTTGTTTGGACACAATTTATTGTTGGTGGCAGTAACTGAAATGTTGTAATTCTAAGTCCATTCAGATGAAGTAGATATATAAACTTATCGAGATTGAAAATCTTCACTTGACAACAGAATGAAATGAGTAAATCTATTTTCAAGATACCTAATAATTATTGGCATAGTTGCAATACCCATATATATCAAACCCTTAAACTTCTGAAATTTCAGACAAACTTAAACTAAATTTTGGAGGTTTACCAATTCCATAATGTAAGGAAAAGGTGTCATCTTACTTGTGAAGTTCAACATTAATGGCATAATAAGGGAAGTTGGCCTTATTTGCAATGTTAAGTAGGTAAGTATTATTTGGAGAACTCAATTAAACATCTGACCAAAATTTTGCATTTTCCGAGATTTCTATTATAGTTTCTAATGAAAAAGTGATCTGAAATTATAGCATTTACAGAATGAACCACATTTTTGTTATTAATTAATCCTTTATTAAGTTTTAATTAAAAATATAATCTAAATGTAAGGAGTGGTGCTCTTTAAGAATTTGAGATATGGCATTTCTTAACAATTATTCCAATCATAAGTCTTTGTTTCAATAATAGTTTCCATTATTATTAATTTAAGGAAAAGTATTATATAAAATAATTCAAATTGAGATGAATGGTAACTAGCTTAAAAGTCCTGAAATAGAAATTATAGCTGCTGAAGAAATGAAATCTCGACAAACATCATAATAATATATATCGATCTGTTTCTGCATATTGCTCATCATCATATATTCGGTTTTATTAGGAATTGAGCAAACATAATTGCCATTAATGATTTGTAGCATATCTTACAACACCCTCATAACTATGATAATATTCATCAACACACCTAAAATCAATACCAAATGTTACTTTACAATGATCATCTTAAGTAAATTGATTAGTTTAGTCTCATTATTGTTCCTAGATTAAGAATACCTAGTTATTATAGCATTTTTAATAGATAATTTGACTCAAGAACCAGATCCAATGAGTGTGTTGGAATAAACTATTATTAAATTCGGCTCGCTTGTCGTTGTATGTATTAACGGAAAGCTTTTATTCATTTTGGTTATGATTTCCATTTCATTGTTGTAACTAGTAAAAGATTTGCAGAACAAAGTGTCATAAATGAAAAAATAATTGAATGTTACTAACATGACACCAATTCAGAATATTTCATAATATTCCTAATTGGAAAAACAAAATGATGAGATATGGAAGAATAGAATGCAAACAATTCCAATTATTGCCATCATCATATCTATGCAAAATTGGTAAATTGTCCATAAAAACTAATCCTTCTATGATTTCTTTTCCTCTTATAAGTAAACGGAAGAAGAATTAGAAAATTTAGTAATGAATCATTTAAGTTTTCATGTTTCCAGCAGTAATCTCGAGGAATAAGATGTTTCGTCCATTAATTAATTCATCAATTAAATAAGAAGACCTCATGCCATGACGTTTAATAATAATTGCAATTAAAGAAATTAAGAAACTCTTTAAGATATACCTATAGGATATTAATCTCTAAATGAAATAGTATTGAATTTTAAGAGTAAAGTCCAAAGTTCTTTCCTTAATATTCATCACTCTGTTTATTACGAAATCACATGCCGATAACAACTAGAAGATGGATCATATCTATAGCTATTTGGATAAATTGTATAAAATGAAAAAGACAATGAAATCTTAATATTTTTGAATGACTTCTCAGGCTAAAATGAAATGTAATAAAATATTCTTCTTAACGATTTTAAATCTAAAGTAATAATAATTAAATATATTAGATCCTTCAATCATTCTCTCATGAACTCAGAACCCCACTTAATAGTGCTTTGAACTTTTTATCCTCCTCTTTGTAAGAATAAAAGATACCTTTATATGTGAAAGATAATCTGATAGAACCAGCAATCAATTCTTTAAAGATACAAAAGTATCTCATAAATGACATCCTTGATTTCTCATCTTTTTATCAAGATCACATCAAAATATAACTCAAAGAATTTACTATTTCTGAGCTCATTACCGAAATTAGTTCGATGTTTTATTATCAATTTAACACTAAATAACTAGCCTTCCATGTTGATTTAAAAGAAAATTAGTTAAATTCATTTTGTACTGATTATAAAAAGCTCCTTTAAATTTTAATAAATCTTATATAAAACTCCTTAAAATATTCCTTTAAAGGAGGCTGCGTTCTTAAACTAATATCATTACCAAATCAAAATATATTATTTGAAATAGCAGACTAAGGAATAGGCATTGAATAAAGTCTATTATAAAAGTTATAAGATATAAGTAAGCACATTGATAAAAATAAAGAATTTGTGAAAGATTGGCATGGAATAGGTTTAATAATTTCTTCTATTATTTTGTAATATCTTGCTCCTTCAGATATGAACTCTTTTAATATTAGGTCAGAAGGGGAGAACAAAGGAACATTTATTTCTTTTTGTATAAAAAACTTTTTTCGAGTTCCTGCTTCTTAATAGAATATCAAGAATAGCACCTCGAATTGTATGAATATTGGAAGTGCCTCAAGTCAATTCAAGCAATTGTCAGCTTCTTAATAAATACAAGTTAATAGTTCTCTATTCAATGTAATGGGCACTATAGTTAAAGCCACAGAATTTCACATCACAAGCAATCAAATCAAAACACAATTTGCTTAGTATTCTTCAAAAAGATCTCAAAACGATTCTTTTTATTCTGAAAGCAACGATGACTTTTTAGAAAAGAGATTAGACGACTTAGAAAGTTTGAATCCCTTTTTGATAACAGATATCAATAAGGTTTACAACAAAGTTAAAGATAAATCCTCTAAGGTCATCAATTTAAAATAAATTAAATAATTAGAAGAAAAAGAATCTGAATTATTCTTGACTGGATTAAATAGTTTAAAAAAATGTAATTGCATGAGGATTTTGAGTGTTGATGATGAAATTTTTAATCAAAAGTCCTTATAAATTTTGATTTCTAAGCTGGGTTTTGAAGTGTTGCTAGCATTTAATGGCTAATAGGCGATTTAAATAGTGTAAAATTTATAAAAATGTTGCTCATCTTGCAATTTACTTTCTCTCATTCTCATGGATTATCAGATGCCAATTATGAATGGAATTGAAGCAACAAAATAATTGATTAGTATGATGAATAAATTTTAAATTCCTTATATTACAATTGTTGGATTAACAGCATTCACTGGCTAAAAGGATATTGATAACTGCTTGAAAGCAGGGATGGAATAAGTACTTGATAAACCATTAAATATATAAGAATTGAAGCATATTTTATTATGCGTATTTAAAAAATGTTGATAGAAAAATGAGTTTATGAATACTTTATATGATGTATATGTACACTTCTTATCAAAACGAATATGTTATTATTACTATAGTATTTTGATATTATCTGTTTTCACTTTTTAATAACTTTGAAAGAGTTATTGGCTTAATTTGAAATCCTTAGAGTGTTCTATCTATTTTAAATAAATACTTAGTAATTCAATAATATCTAATCAATATCTTTCCAATAAATATCGTTGTAAACATCGTCAAATCTTCATTATTGATTTCGCTATAGATGGTTGATCTTATAATAATGAGCTCATAGAACATTACATATCTCATCTTAACATCAATTTTTGCACCTTTGAGTGTGCAAATGCCTCCAAAAGATTCTAAACCTTATAAATTAAACCTCCCTTAATTCTATCCGAATAACAAAGTGCTTTCTTTAATTCCCAATATATGTTCAAATTTAGATAAATCAAATGAGCACTTATCACATGTGAAATTAAAAGAAGCTTGATAATATCTCAGTTTCGAAAGAGTTAAATTAAATTAAGGGTTTGTACTTTGAAGGAGTTGATTTTTACATTTGTTATATGGGTTCCAATATTATATAAAATTCGATGACTAATTGTATTTATTTGTCTAAATTAAAGGAGTGCGGGATGGTGAAAAAAATAGGAAATCTATTATAAGGCAATACTTATGGGCAAAGGAATTAATGTGTCACACGAAATTGTTAATGAGATTAAATTAATAATTTAGTGAAAAAATTAATTTCTCGTTAAGAATTAATTTAATTATGCCTTAAAATGGTAAATTATATGTCTATGAAATAAAATTAAAAAAATTAAAACATTAATATTAATATTAAAATCCAATTTTTTATTCTAATCAGACAATATGTATTTCTATATAAGATCAATAAAAAGGCATTAATAAGAATATCCTCCAATTTATACAATAAAAAATCAGAGATATAATTTGTCTCTAAATTTTATACTAAAATCAAAAAAAATGTCTCACTAGAATGAATTATGTTTTATTATTATGAGTAAAAATTTCTATTAAAATACTTTTTATACGAAATAAAAGTTAGCTCATAATTTAGAAAAAATTTAACTTTTTCAATAGAAATTTATTATTAACATAATGTAATTCAATCATCATCTAAAGATTCCTCCTCGCCTTCATCCTCATCATCGTCCTCATCTCCTTCAAAATCATCTTCATCATCATCAGCCTTCAGTCCCAAATAAGTGAATAAAGCTTTTGGTATAATTGTATTCACAAATTATGACCCCAATTCATAATCAAATTATTCTCTTTCAACTTTCTCATCTTCATTGTTGATCTAATCAACATCTTCGAAGAAATGGAAAAATGTTGGGGCTTTCTCCTCCTTTTCAATTTCCCTTGTTTATCCTGTTTTCTTATTCTTTTATTTGCGTTTAACAATCTTCTTGGTTATGTTTTTACCTTCCTTCCATTTGATTTAAGATCCCTTTTATTTTGTTGGAAATTCTTCATCTGAATTCTCAAAAACATATGATTTGGTTAAAATGCATGCACCAAAATGATCATTGTCTTCAAACTCAAAATTGATTGTAAAATCCTTTCCATTTTCTCCTAAATCAACATTTACTGATAGCAAATGTCTAAAAATGCTTTTATCTGCTTCAGATATCAATTTTCCTGTCAGACTATTATTCATCAAAACTTGACCCCAATAATTTTGGAGTGGAGATGCTTTGACATCTTTGATTTCAATTTAATATGTGTTTGCATCTTTAATTTCCTCTTCAGTTGGAGCTCTGAGTCCTTTGATTATAGCATTAATTTCATTTTATAAAGGAATAACACTCCTCAAATACTCTGTTTAAAGTTGACGTACTTTCTTTGCAACTTGTTTCTCTGAGTCAGCCCATTTATTGAGATGGTGCTAGATTGCGATTGCTGTAGGTTATTATTTTGGAGGAAGTTGTTTAATTGCTTCTAAAATAGTTGTGTCCATAAATTAAAATAAAAAATTAATTCAATTAATACTATTATCTAAATCAGAAACCTTTAATTTAAACTTTGAAAATAGAGTCTAAAAATTAAATCGCTGTAATTATTAAGAGTCAGAAAATATTTCTAATTCCAAATACAATCTCTGTCTGGAAGTTAAAAGAATATCGCAATATTTTAATGCTTCCTATATTACATAATGAGAATTACATTAAAATCTTCATATTCACACTAATTGTTTCCCAAATGTTTTTTTTTAATATTGAACTATTTAATTGCAGATTCCATACCCTAATTATATTTATGGAACAACTGGCAAAAGTATTCGTACATTTATTGCTTCTCCGATTCATCAAACAAATTAAATTCTCCTAATAGTTTCTTATACACAGATTTTATGATAACCTTGGTCTATGTCCTCTATCTATCATATAGAATATGATCCTCAGTGTTATCCTCGATCAAATACCTAGCCAATAGACTTGATTCATCCTCACTTAATTCAAAGGGTGCTTTCTATAGACGCAATTAAGTTTCTTCAAGAGTCAAAAATTCATCATCATCTTCACACAAAATTTATTCTTATGTTTCGTAATCAATATTATTGCTCAATAATTTGATTTTTAGATTGCACATGATTTCTTTGATGTCATAAGAATTTACTTTTAAACATTGTTTTTTATTTGTAACAGGTAATTATAATTGCAGTTTCTAAGGACTATTATTATTTCTAGGACTACCATAAATAGTCATCGCTTGTCTAAGTCCGATCGATTAGAGTGAACCTTCTTAAGATTACTCTTAATCATCTCTTCTCTAATTCAATTCCTCAATCTACTTTTTTAGCATATTAATTCTATCCTACAATTTTTCCTTTTCTTTACTTTCCATAGATTTGAATACATCATAATTATGCTGTAATTCTCCATTTTTTGACTCCAATTCTTCTATGAGTTTTTTATTTTATTATAATTATTTGGCTTAATTTTAAACCTATTATTACAATTCATCTATCTTTTTCAAATAGTCTTCAGAGGGAGTTTACTTTTTAGTATTTTGCATTTCCTGTCTCATATACATCATGTGTTTATTAACAGAGTCAAATTGCTTCTCCAAATCCTTCAACCTACCAGTCAATCTATCCTTATCGTTCTTGAGAGACAACAAATTCTATTGCAATCCGTGATTCTCTTATTATAAACTGAGAATCATTTAAGACAAATTCAAGTTATCTTGTTTGTAGGCTTAAACTAAATTGATTTGAATTTAATCCTTTAGTGATTGATTTACCATCATAGTTTCATTTGCGTCTTGGCTACATTTGCTACTGATGTACAACTATAATTTTTGATATGCTTCCTTTTATTCTTCTAATTCTGCCTCCAATTCTTTGTTCTTGGTCCTTTCAGGATTACGCTTCAACTTAAAAACTTAGTCCTCAAGTTCCTTAATTAATTTATCCTGCTCTTTGATTCTTGCTCTCTAAGACAAGATGACTTGAAACTGTCTAAATCAACACATAATTACATCTTTTTAAGTTTCATTAGTTTTCTAGACTTGTTTCTCGAAATTCGCATGCTCTTGTCTCTCCTTCTTCAATTCGAATTTGACTTGTTACAATTCCTTCTTCAACTTTAAATTTTCCTCGTACAACCCCTCCTTGTCATAAAGCATCTATGATGGCATTTAACTAAACACATGCACATTTTCAATTACCGATTTTTCTTATTTTCCTTAATTCTAAAGGATGTACTGCTACTATCATAGAGTTTCGATTATTGTTGTGATGATGTGATGCTGGTTAATGGCCTTTACATAAAAAATAAATAATGAAATAAAATAAAAAAACATAGAAATAAATCATAACCCTTTTTATTTAGGTACTTTCATTGGCCAAATCACAGATTGGTTCATCATCTTATTCAAAATTTCTGCTCCCAATACCTTTGCCAGTTGCTTAGCTCTGGTTTTAGCAACTAAATTAATTGAATTTGTTTAATATACCTCTTGAACACTAGAAATAGAAATAAAAATTAATTATTTGGATAGTCAATTAAAATGATATGCCAGTTAACTAAATTAATAATAACAGTAATGAATACATTGAGAATATGAAACCCGATTGCATTGACTACCGCTAAAAATCCCCATGCTAATATCGCTAGTACCAAAGTTGCCCAAAAAATAAAGGAATTCACTTAACTCACCTAATTCTCATTTACTCTTGTTTCAAACACCCATAGTTGTTCTCCTGAGGCTTCATCTATTTCTTCCCACCATCTTAATCCTACGAGGAGTCTACCAGTGATATTCTTTGTAACCCAAAAATCAACTGCTCCAATAACAATCACTATCTCAGGCAGAGTCCAACTATTATATTTATATTTTTGTTACGCTTCTCGTATGAATAGTCCTCCAAACAAATAAACAGCCAGGGCAATCCCTTTGATTGCGAAATGAAATAAGGCCACAGAGGGATGATCAGATTTTGTATAATCAAAATTGTATCCTTCCATTTACTCTTTGTAAAATCCATTCAAGCTTAAGACACTGGTTGTCATCTATTCATAGATCAATTAGTACTTACATCTTATTTATTCTTTTCTTTGTACTGTTTGTACTCATTAATCTTACTAGGAGTAGGCTACTAGAGATTACTGTTCACCATGTTTGATTGAACCATGTTAGAATTGCCTTGAAGGTGTTAATGGTATTATTATTGAGAATTCACTTATTAGATTTGTTCGTTGGTTGGAATTGGAATATTTGGATCGAGCAGATGTTAGTAAGGATTTTAAGAATTCATGATTATTATTATGATTATAATTCAATTTAATAAAAATAAGGCCATTATTTGCCACTCAAGATAAGATTACCACCTCTATATGCAATCCCATTCAACACCTTGTTAAACATAGGGTCTGTATACCCTTTACCCTTCACACTCTCAACATCCTAGATCAATGCAGTAAAGTCAAGAACATCTATTAACTTACCGTCATGTGGATCTATCTAAGCAATCAATGGAGTTTCATAAATGTTTGCTAGAACACTGCCATCTCCAATAATTTCTAATTCATTTAGTTTATTGAGTGCTTCTCCATTCCCTAAACGCACGCTCACTGTTTTCTTGACCTTAAAGTCACTTGGATCAACATGATACAATCTATTTGTTCCATCAGAAATTAAAAGCATCGCATCCCCATCATTATTCCTATAAGAGGTCATCCCCCATCCTTCCTGGATTTCTCCTGGGATTTCCAATTCTTAAACTAATTGCAAATTGCTATCCAATTGGAAAGCTTTTCTCTCCTTCCAAGTCAACATATAGATTTCATCTTTACCGTTTTTGTTTTTTATTTTTGAACACCCCTCACCGAAATACTGTTTCCCTATAGGCTGCCGTAATTTTAATTCTATTTTCTTTTTGTCAAAGACATTATTAATGTAATGTATCTCAGAATCGCCATATAAACCTGTACTCTCTAATAATACATCATCTGAAAAAAAGGAGAGGCCTTCTGTAAAGAACAGCAAGTCTGCTGGTCTCTATATTTTATCCTTTATTATAAAAGAGACTTTGTCAGACGCCTTAAAAACTGTAGGATCTTGACATAATGATAAAAATAGTAGTGAAATGAAAATTAAATACATATTTTATTATAATATCCAATTATAAGTAAAATCTGAATTTCAAAATATAACTCAACACCATCTTCATTAGCCATAAAGCATCAAACATTTTGGCTTTTTAATGTGCTTCAATAATAACGAGTTTTAAGAACATTAAATTACAAATATGGAATTCGATGTCGAAAAAGAAATAAAGTTTTGGCTTTGTACTTGATATTCAAAAATTTGAATTATTATTCAATATTGAGATGGAATACAAATAGATGTCAATTGAGTTTGGAGTATGCGCTAGGAATATATGTGTATATCTTGAGTTAGGGTGACAAAATGTCATAGCTGCCCTTGTAGCTCAGTTGGTTAGAGCGCGAGTCTCATAATCTCGAGGTCGTGGGATCGACCCCCACCAAAGGCAGATATTTTTTTAAATATGCTCCATGTAATTAATAACTTAATTTATTAATATATATATTGTTGGTTATGTAAAAGGTATTAAAAGTCAATTTTGGAGTATTATCTAGACCCAAATTACATATTTTTGATAAGGGTGCTAAACACACTCCATTAGGAATCAGAGCAACTATTCATGGAGGAACTAGCTTTTCAGGAATTTATATGGGTGGTATACTTGGAAATATGGGATCGGAGTTGATATTTCCTTACAGTGACTAGCAAGGATTAAATTAAGATGAAGATATAATTATGAAGATCATGTAAGAGAATTGAAGACAACATCGGGACCTAGTTATAATTGGTTATTACATGATATGAATTATGATAATATAGAGATTATAGAGTGGACTATGAAGAATTCAAATTTTGTAGTAATTTACTAGGTCCAAGAAAACATTTAAAAAATAGAAATGATTTTGAATGGATCAATATGACTGTACCTAAAAGAATTGCTGAAGCATGCGCTAAAATTCCAAGGTTAATTAGATTGATTCATTTTTATGCCTGAGGTGCGAATCCTCATGCCGAATCCTTAGATTTATAAACTAAATAAAATCAAAATAAGTATTAAATGCTTTTCCAAATGCTACTATATTTAGACCAAGTGTGATGGTAGGAGACAATGATGATTTTGCCTATCATTGGTAGATTCAGAAGAGATACTTCCATAATTTCAATATTGTACCAGATCACTGTTAAGCAAAAAGACAGCCTGTAAGAATAAAGAAATATAATAGATTTTTGTTGAAGATGTAGCTTAAGCTATGTTAAATGCTTTGAAAATGCCAGAAACTATAGGATGAATATATGAATTGGGAGGTCCTCATGTATATACTTTTTAGAATGTTATGAAAATGTTTCACAATATTATAGGCCACCAAAATTGGCACATATTGATAAATAGCTATTACTAAAGATTGGTAAATGCTAATAAATATATAAATTAGCTTAATATATTCTATATAGATTATATCCTAAAACATGGAGATTATATGGTAGTTTAAGTTGGATCTTAAAACAATTGATGATTTATGTGTTAGACCATTGTCGTTAACACAAGCACTCTAGAATATGTTCTGGGATATTCAAGCTCGTTATGGTGGATCAAATTAATTATATGAAAGATGATTTCACATAGTGTGTTATCGAAAAAACGATTAGAAATAATAATAATATTTATTCATAAATATCTCTTTAGTATTTCTTGAAGTTCTACTTCGCTTACAGGTTTGGTGATATAATCTGACATTCCTGCATCCAAGCACTTCTTTTTGTCTTAGTAATCGGAATAACCACTGCAGCCAACGATGATCTAACTAGGATTGAGAGCCAGTATTTATTTAGTAGTTTGAATTCCGTTCATAATGGGCATTTCTAGGTCCATGAATATGAGTTTGTATCCTTGGCATGAATTGTTGCACTTTTTATTTTTCACTTTTTCTATAGACTCCTTTCCAGAAAGAGCAGATTCTACGTCAATTTATTGGTTATTGTTTTTCAGAACTCCTTTTAAAATTTTGTTGAAGGCATACACATTAAAGCATTCATCATCTACAATCAAACAGTGAGAACAATACGAAATAATATCCTGAGTTATTTTCTATTACTCCTGATTCAATGTAGTAATTTCATCAACCTCCTGATAAAGAGGGTAGATTTCAGGAATTTTAAAGATTGCCACCTTTTTCTTTTCAGGTAATTCTATTAGCATATCGAAATAAAAGAACGAATAATGATTGTCTTCATCTTTTTTAGATTCTATATTCAACCCAGTACATCCGATTGTTTAGGCAATCTAATTGCTGATAACTAATCCTAAACCAACACCTTGTTCATTTAACTTTCTGCTTTCCTCTGAATTAACTTTAGAGAATGCCTTAAATAACATCTATTGTTCCTCATTACTGATCCCAATACCATCATCTCTAACTCCAATTCTCAAAAAAGCAGACTAAAGCTAGATGATTACTTCTATTTTGCTACACGTGAATTTGAATGCATTGCTTAATAGATTCACAATGATTTGTTTCAACCTATTTTTGTCCGACATTATGAATTTTGGGATATTACTACTGAATTCTGTTAATAACTAAAGGTCTTTCAATCGAGCCTTCAAGGCAAACAGTTTTATGCAATCAGTAATCAAATTCTCGATATTAAAAGATACTTTGTTTATTTTGAATTTGCCATTCTTAATTTAAGCCAAATCCAATAAATCATTGGACAAATTTAACATGTATTTGGAATTGTCCAAAGCTATTTATAGGTTCTCAGCTATTTCTTAATTATTTGTTATGATCGGATTCAAGAGAACACATTAAATCATCTGTATGATACAACCTAATGGTTGTCGGTATTCATGACTCACAAATGACAGCGTCTTTGATTTTTAAATATCATAATCTTTTAAATATCGTATTTTTTATCTATGTGTTATATCTCTACAAATTATTAATATGCTTCTATCTTTAGTAAGGGTCAAAGTGAATTCCATCAATCTTTCGTTTTATTCATGTCTGGATTAACCTCCCGCATTAGATTAAGAGATTGTTATATTTTTATTTGTGTTTAAAGATATGCTACCACTAAAATGAGTATTCACTGTTATAACATCAGTTCTCCTGGTTTATATCATTCTTTCAAGCAAGTCTTTCATACTGATCGTTTGATATTTGTCAAGCATTTAAAAGTCTAAAAGTGGCTATTTCACTGAACAAAACAGTTCCTTCTAAAGAAAGATAGATTTGCAAATGCGAGAATGTTACAAATTCGATAATCGTTATTGAACAGATTCCCTTCTCGAACTAGGATCATCCGAGATGTCTTAACCTTAAATATGTAGAGTATTTAAACTCTCCAAGATATACAATATTTCTCCTTCCTATTCACGACCAAATAGAACTCTTGTGGCATTATTTACATACTGTATTTTGTAAGACTGAGTCTTTTCATCTTATACATCCAATACTATTAAGCCTTCTTGTAAAAAATCAAGAGAATTAAAAATAATTTCTGAATTGATATAATGTTATTAAATATTGCTAAAATTATTGCACAGTATTCTTGCACTCTCCTTTGATTGATCTAATATAAAATTTTTATCACTGTCAGCCACAGAAACCACTCTTTTTGCTAGGCTGTCCAATTTCTGCATTGGCCCACCATCAATTGGAATTGTCGTATTCAATTAGCTTTGGTTTTTCTTTCTCAATGCCACACTCTGTTAGAAGGACAGTAATAAACACAACATCAATTGTGGTTACTCTGCGCCAAACGTGCTCACAGTGTGCAAATATATTTACTAAAATGCGCACACTAGGATCATCAAACCATAATAGAAAAACATAGGGTTTATTAAAAGCTGATTTTATGTCCTCATTTATTTAATCAGATCTTTTGAAATGTATTAACATACTATTAATTAAGCGTAAGAAGCGTGGTTTAAGTTTTCGTAATTCAGAATTATTAGACAAATCAAATCTATTTGAATACAGAATATAGTTCCAATTATTTTCACTCTCAATTTAGCATAATGAAATAGCATTACAATAGGGGATAACAGGCATATGATTACCAAACATAATAAATTACTTGTATTCCTACTTTCGATATAGAAATAAACGGAGTAACAAAATGACATCCAATGAATTGCTTATACTTTCACAAATTATCTGTCTATCATACTATAAAAGTCCTTGGCTTTTCGATAAAATATTAATATAAAAACTAATTATTACAAGATAAAATAATCACTTTCCACTTTCAGACATTACTTTTTATCTTGTCTCAATCGTATTTACTTTACCATCCTAATTTATTATATTAAATAAAACAAATTAATTTTATCATCTCTACAGCAATTTCGAAATTTTAAGAAATATACTTTCCCATTTATCTCTTCAATTCAAAAATAGAACACTACTTATTCACTTCCCTAATTTTCCTATTTCCCTTTTCTCATAACCATCTACTCAAACCCATTTCCACCATAACAATATTACAAGAATAATTGATGATATCTAAGAATTTTAAGAAACAATTTATTGAGAAATAAAATATCTCATGATTGATTATTATTATAATGATCACGAGAAGGAATACTGAAATTATACAGGATTTGCCTATGCAATTCTGAATCTAAAGTAATCTTCTCCATTTACAATTGAATCGCACTTAACATTTCTTTGTTCTTATCTTGATCCACATCTCCCAATACCTTCTTCACCCATCTACTATTATATTTATTCAGCCGTTTTTGGACTTATTGTGCCTTGTTCAACTATTAAAACTTAAGAACTTTGCTATTGTTTTACAAAGCTTCCCTTTCTGATTTCAATATTTTTATTGCATTCTATATATCAGCTGTCTAATTTAACGCATTGGATATCTATTCAACTGTATAATCATTTCCCAATATCATCTGAATTTATTCAAGTGGTGATTTCTCAGGCTTTTTTGATCCTTTAATTGGCAAAGTCTTCTTAGCAAAACTCATAACAAATTTATAATTATTTTCAACTAATTAAAAATAACATTCAAATCATCTCCTATAACGAGGCTTCTTGAAATTAAACCATAAATGAAGGATTCCTCTAGAAAACACTGATTTAAAACCCATACGATCTGAATAATCCCACTCTTTGCATAAAATTTAAAACGCTAAATCCTCATAGGGAGGACCAGCAATAAATCTGATAATGCAATAATCTGGATTTTCACAAGTTTCCAAAGTGTATTTAGGAGCCTAAAATTAATAACATTGGAATAATACTTAAGTTTTATCTATCAATTCTGGATAGAAGACATTAAATTTGTATCCTTGAATAGTCTTGGGAGGAGGATTGTCAACATCATAATGAGTTTTATTATACATATTCCAATCGAAACCCATCTTAACTCTGTTGAAATATTAAGGACGTTTCAATTTATATTTTTAACTCCATGATGGTTCTTATCTTTAAGGTACAACTTCATTAAAATATACTTCATCCTCTTCTAATGGCTTTGATCTTTCATATTCAAACATTTGTTGTGCTAAAATATCTAATCCTTCAACATTATCTTCCAATTTTCTATTATTTGGAATTGAAAATTCAGGTAATTTATTTTACTTTCCCTTTTGTTTTTCCTTTTCCTTTTCCTTCTCTTTCTTCTTCTTCAATTATTACTTTTCTAGTTCAATTTTTGCATTGTTTAGGAATTCAGTTAAAATTGTAATTCTCTAATCAGTTAGTTATTTTAAATCATCATTTTCCAATATAAATTCATCACAATCAACTGGATCTGGACTAACACATTCATATTCTGTTTATTCTTAAATTTCAACCTAATAATGTTATTTTTCTGTGGCATTTCTTTCTACATTGATTTATATATCCTTTGTATTGATTCCTACATCCAATACTAATTAATTGTCTTACCTCATACTCTTATATTTTAGATCCTTACAAAAAACCTTATAATAATTTTTTAATATAGTCTTAGCCTTAATAACTTTTAATTTCTTTAAAATCTTTTCCCAATAGTCAAAATCTATTTTATATTCTGCTCCATAATTCAACATTTGATTTATCTCTCCCTCCAATTCATCTAATCCTTCTCTTGACTTGCCTTAAAACATTTTCTTGATATCCTATTTGAATTCACTCTGTATTCCAAATTTTGGACATTTTGGATCTTTTTCCTTTTGTTCTCTCCACTCTACTTCTGCTTAAGCTATTGATATAATCGATGCCCAATAATCTTGGAAATTACTTTTATTGTCTATTTCTATGGCAAATTATTTCTTTGATTCATTTAGTATTACTTTTTGATCCTCATGACCTAGAGTCTTGATAAATTAAGATGGATTATGCATAATTTATTCTAATTGTTTCTGATGCCCAATTTAACCCTAAATTTATATTAAATTTATTATACTTTATAAATGCAACAAATTCTAACAAACTTATCAAAGGGAAGTTCTCTTTATTATTGGATTCTAATCAAAGGTCTCAGCTTTTCAACCTTCTCAAAAAATGCATCTTCATTATCTATCCATTGTTTATAGTTCTCCATTTGTCTTTCTTTATTTAATCTATTTTTCTCTTCCTCCAATTTTATTTTCTCTTCTTATTTCTTCTACCTTTAAGATTTTAGTTTTTCTATTTCTTTCAACATATCATCTAATTTCTCTTTCAATTCATGCTCAGATATTCCATGCAGACCTTTTTCATCTAACTTACTTTTCCAGATTAAAGACTTAGCTAAATTTTTATCACCATAAGGATTGTCCTAATCAGTATAACCTATTTTTTATAAATACTTCTGCTTCATCTTATCTAATGAAGCATAAGCCTTTAACAGTTGATTCTTGGATTGCATCTTACTACTTTTTTAATATTTCTTTATTGATTAGTGTTTTCTTGAACTTCTTGATCTAGATGACGAAGAAGATGATGATGAAGGCGAGGAAGAAGATGATGAAAATGATAGTGATTCAGCAGATGATGCTGAAGAGGATTCATTTGCTTGTCTTCTTTTTAAATATTCTGTCATTTATTAAATTAATAAATATATATACATATTATGTTAATTTAAATATTTTTTCATCCATTCATTATTAATTACTTCATCACTTCATTGATTGTGATAAGAAACCCAAAATTTCAAATTCTTCCTAATTATAATTACCTTTGATTTTTTGCTTACATATTTCAATATTCTTGACTTAAAGACAAAAATATATTAAGGAAATTAACTATTTTTCCTCCTATTTTATTTCTGTCTTAAAGTCGAGCTGATAATTAAAAGAAACAGCCAACTACTTGTCAAAAGTTTGAAAGAACTGAAATCTAATTTGTTTCTTTTTGGAAAGGTTTAATTTAAGGGTTTTAAATAGGAAAAAATATATTTAGAAACCGTATAAGATTTATAAAATTATTTTTCGTATGTTATAAACATGCAAGCGGAATTTCTTTCAAGAGTGATTTTATATTAAACATTTATAGTATTCTTGTTAATTTGGTCATTATTGATAGAGGTATCAAGAATAAATTATTTTTAGATGAAATAGGGTTGTCAAAATTTAAGGCTTAGCAACTAATTAGCCAAATAAGATGAAAAAGCCAAACAAACTAACTGCATTAATATGAGAAACTACCTTCTTAAAGCATATTTGTTTTATTTTTACCTTAATTTCATTTAATAAAAAGTAAGTAGATTTGTATAAAGAATTATATAAATTTATAAGTTAAATATTGCTAAAGCAGGATTATATTTATAGATTATTATAATTATAAAATTAAATAAAGTTTATATTATATTTAAGTGTTACAAAATATAATGAGGATAATGGAGCTAAAATTCATAATTTTCTATAAATAGTTTAATTCTTGACAATTCTAGTGTTTAATGGCTTGTGTAAAGTTTGTGTTTATATATTGAATTTTAATAATTAAAATGTATGAATTTTAATTTAATGATAATTTAAATCAGAATAAATGTTTTTTTGTTTTGAATAAATGAATAAAAAATATAGTAAGTTAAGATCAAACTCTTAAAAGGTTTTCTAACTAAAAAATTTTCATGCCTTAATTGACTAGACTTTTGCTAGATTTAGAGTTTTAGATGTATTATATTAATTCTTTGTTTAAGAAAATTAATACTAAAGTTTAATTAAATATTATTTCTTAAGAAAATGAAAAGTTCTAAAAAAATCCGGATTTGATTATTGATAAGAAGTTTAAGATTATTTCTTAGGGAGAAAACAAGTTCAAGAATTCTTACCCCCTTTATACTTCTACAATCTTTATTATGATAATTCGTTGTTTAAGAGCAAATTCAACTCTTGCCTTAGCAAACTTCTTAAGTAAATTGATTGCATCAACATTTTAGAATACATTTTATTCATTTAGACGCTTATTTTTCCAATTGATAATTTTTTAATTACATTAAGTTTTACACTAGATTTTCATATTTATTTGGTCAATTTCTTTGATCTTCGAGTTGAGCAATAATAGAGAGAATTGCCAATTTAGGTCTCATATAATGTAAAATAAATTGAACAATTGAATATAATTAGAGTTTTTATATTAAATTTCATTTTATATAGTATTAAATGTCATTTTTATAGCATTTGATTTTAATTCGTATTTAGTTTTAATTGATGGAAATTAATATTAATATCGAGTAATTAGATATCGATTTTGTGAATTCATAGAGGAAGATACATTTAACGTGAATGATCACTATTTTCTGAGATTGATGAGAAACAATTTTGAAAAAAATATTGACAATGAAATATATGATATATATGGATTTATAATTTAATAAGCCTAATGTAATCAGATTTTGAATAAATTTTTATAAATGCCATGTTTTCCTTTCAAGTGACTTGTCTTTTATTTGATTTTTGAATTATAAATGTAGCTTACCCAATCTTTTCTCAAAAATTTATTACTAAAAATATAAATCTATATTTTACCATAAAATTCTAAAAAGTCGAATAAATTCTTCATCCCTTGTATAGTTGTTTATATGAGATAAATTTCTGATTTTATTTTTGATTTTCGTTACGAATCTGAAGAAATGAGTGGCTCTTTTTTAACCCAATTCCTTTACTATGCTTGAATTTTATTATTTAACATATAAAATGACAGCCCTGGCATAGTTTTTCTGTAAATTTGTTGAGCCATTCAACTAATTAACAATATTATTTCTCTCAGAATTTTCTTTCGAACACATAACTTTATAATCTTCATCTTTGTCATCCTAATCTTCAACATCAAAATCAATATTTTCGCTATCCTAAGGTTCTGGTGGCTTTGTTTCCTCTAGATTTTGTTTTTTTATGATGTTAAAACAATTAAAATTTGATGGTTCATATTCATTTGCTTAAGTTTAGTTTTAAACAACGATTTATTATGGATAGAAAAAGTAGGGATTGTAGATTTGCATCTGATAATAGCAAAACATTGGTTGAGAGGGAATGTTATAATTCTACATTGAGGTTGTTTGGTTTTGCAAATTAATTAATGAATTTATTTACGTTTCTTCTACGATAAAAATACCAAATTTTTTAACAAATCAAAATCTTCTTTTTATAAGAATGATCCTATATTGCTGGTTTTTGAAACTATTATTCCTCTAAAACTGAAAGAATTTATTTAATGTCGTTGAAAAATTTTTTGTTTATTTATATAGGTATGTATAAGTACGATATTTACTATCTTCTTAGGATAAAGTTTGAGAACTATGTTTTAATCTAATTTTCACCTGGTTATCTCCAAATCCTCCACTTAGAATATAAACTGTTTTGTGATGTAACTGACATATAAAAATATTTCGGTTACATCAAGTACATAATATTTTTTTTTTAATTTTCATCTACAAAAGATATCTATATTAACAATATAGATGTTGATCAAGAAAATATAGGAAATATAGAAATTAGACATACCAGCAGTTGATTTTAATGTTGAAAAGTTCAAAAAAACAAATACAAAATTTCTAGATTTTATCTTGGTTTAACATTTTTAATTTATAATTGTATGAAAAATATGATGATTTGTTTTAGACAACCTCTTTGGTAGAATTCAAAATTTAGAATTTTTTTCTTAACATTTCATGAGACTTAAATAATTAGAATTAATATATTTGTAAATAAAATTCTCATTAATTAATATAACTTCTTTCAGTTTTTGAATTTATCTAAACTCATTTATTAAAAGAGAGTAAATATTAATTCATATTTAATTTATTTTATTTTTATGCTTTTTGAACTATTTAATAATAACTTAAATTTTATTAATAGGTCATCAAATTCAAATTTATCTCTTAATAAGATTTTTCCATTCCTTTAGATTAGGATTTTATTATAGATATCAAATTGTTAAATTATTGAAAATACCTATCATCAATTTTGTGTTAACTTGCTCTCGCAGCTAATTCTATGATGGCACAAAATTTGGAAGATTTTTTGTTGGAATTTCAAATCTGATTTTTCTAAATTTCTTTATGATAACAATGGTAGAGTTTTTTCTTATTTTACGTTGTCTCTGCGAGTGTTGTTGCAACCTACAACATTATTTTAGCAAATAAGTAATTACTCAACATTTAAGCCAATTATTGGATGTTAAATTTATTTTATTACTTATGACATCAAAGATTCCTAATTTTATTGATCTTTTTTCTGTTGTTATACATTAATTCACAATCCTTCTTTTCTAACTATTTTATAAACAATTGACAAGAAATAAATCATAAAAGTCATGCATTAATTAATTATTTATGCTATAATTATTTTTACTCATTGTTATTGCTAAGAGTTAAATAAATTTAGTTTGGTAGATATATAATCCAGATAGTGGATTATCATCATAAGATTAATCACTAACTTTTGGATAATATAATAAAGAAATAAGAGTTTGGCCTTCAGATGGAAGCGCATTTAAGAGTGAATTTTAATTATCCGGCAATTTGCCTATGAGTCCTCAATTCCCTATTGCAAGAATAAATAGTAAATATGTTAGCTTTTATGTTGGGATAACAGAGAATAGTGGATCAACTCTGAGTTTATCTAAAACTACAAACTCATAATATTAGTTCTCCTAGAATGCAATTTCTTTTGTGCCATCTTCTAAACAATGCGTATTAACTCCATCTGCTGATTTTAATACAATTCCAATAGGAGGGAAAAGATAATTGACTTTAGATTTCATTAGTTGTATACCAATTACAGGTTTATAGATTAAAGTGTTATATGAAACAATTAGTAAGACAATAATTCAAAAAAATAGAGAGAGATTTGCTTTCATAGAGGTGTCTGCCTTAAATGCAGCTGTTGACACTTCAATTTCTATATCATTCTAAGTGAATTCAACTTATTATCTGATTAGCACGATAATATTAAAGGTGGTTGCAAATTCATAATCTCTTCCTGTTTCTTCAATAGTCAATAAGAATAGTGGAACTTGTATTGGAGCATAAGGGGTATTTACATTTAATTGTGGAAAGAAATCAATGCTCTATTATAGTTATTCGTATTAGAATTAAGCAATAGATATTACCAAAATAAAGGAATAGCTATTATTAAATAAATTAGGAAAATAATACACAAATATAAATACATATGAAGGTTATGGATAAACTTTAATGGCGGATAATTCAAATAAAGATATAACTCTAACTGGATTAAGAAGCAATACGGATTATACTATTTTGGCTGTTTGTGAAGATGAATTATATTAATAGTCATAATCAGCAATATCATTTAATCGATGTGATAGTCAATAAACAATAAAGAAGATATAAATATAATCTTATCAATAATTTGAGACTATAAATTTGAGAGATATTGCTTGTGATCTTATGCTATAACTATCTTTAAAATAGAATTAAGTGAGTAGTGCAGATGGCATATTTTGTAATTAGATTGCATAATCAAAGATTAATGGAAATAAAAAATATTATATTCCTTAAGTCAGTTCAACTCAATTATCGACATATACCTTCTTTTTATATCCAGATTATGCAACTACTTATGATTATATTGTCAATAGTGTCTCAATATCTCAATATGAAATTTAAAAACAAACTATTGAAAAGATCACTCCCAAATTTCCAACTGTTAATTAGGAATTTTTTATTGCAGATGAAAATTTCTTAAATTTTACCATTACACTAAAAACAGATGGATTCATTTCAATTGGATTAGACCTATTGTAAACCTCTCTTCCTGATTTATATTAATTTTCAAATGGATTAAATTATCTAAACAACCCATTCATCAAGTTTTATAAGAAGTTCCTAATAGCAAAAGAATAATATTGGTTTCAGTTTAAATTAAGTGATAAAAATGATTATTAGTTAATATATTAACTTGCATCAGATCCCTCAGATGGAGCTTAGTATTCTCCTTTATAAGTAAGGAAATTTACATTAGTGCAAATGCAAGAAATTTACAATATTATTATTTGTTTGAGTTTTATAATGTTTTTTAATCTTTGAAATAATAATAATATTATATAAGATATTAGTTTCTTTGATATCCTATGCATGATAGCATTTTCACTGTAATATCTTTATAAACTTCCAATTATAATTGTAATTTTTCATAAGTGAAAATAACATATAGAAATGATACATTAGGTATCTATTTAAGTACACAAATACTTATTCAACGAATAAAATGATTTTGCTAACATACTTAGATTAACCCAAAAAAATATTTCAAGTTGAAAAGAATCTTTGTAGATTAATTTTCACAAACTTGATCACTTTAAGCTTCGAATATATTTGTTTATTTCTAATGCTTTAGCTTATGATATTTTACTTGAAATTTAATGTTTCAAAACTTCAATTTATTATTTAAGAAATGAATAATTCTTAATCTGAAAAATGAAAGAAAATTTAATTGTTTCATACTTATTTATTGACAATTAATATTTGATGACATGAGTATTATTGTAATTGGTCATTTTAATTATTAAAAAATGATCGATTCAATAGATAATTAATTAATTAATTTTGATGAAATTAGTGATTATACTTTTGCTTTGTCATATGCTATATTGTGTAGATGTTGATAAAAACACCTTCTCTAATTATAAGGACGTGAAAACACAACATCTTCACATAGAGTGGCTATTGAATCTGAATGATAAAGTAATTGATGGATCTGTGGAATACACATTGAAGGTTTTTGCAAGTTAATTGACTGAAGTAAGAACGATGTGCTATAGTAGGTTCATTTGGATATTTATAAAATGAATATCCTGTTTGTCTATTATCCAAGCAATGGTCAAGTGTTGAAACATCATGTAGAATATGATCCAATTCAAAGTGAGGAGTAAGGGGATAAATTGGTGATCGAATTAGGGTAGGCGTATAAGTATGGTGAAATTGTGAAATTCAGAATCAAGTATCAAATTGGCGAGGATGCTAGAGCACTTAGCTTTATGGATCCTTCCTAAACAGATGATAAAAGTATATAGAATAATAATTATGATTAGAGGCCCCATATTTATTTTCGTAATGTGAAGCCAACAATTGTAGATCGATGATTCCATTACAAGATACTCCAAGCATCAAATTTACATATTCAGCCACAGTGATCACTCAATCACCATTGATAAATGTGTTTATGAGTGGAAATAGATTGTAAACTCAGAAATTCGAATTGATGGGCAATTATGACTTGAATTCTATTGCCAACATCTTTCAATTTGAATTAAACATCAAGATTCCAGCGTATTTGATAGCTATCGTTGCAGGTACAGTAGAGGAAAGATCAACTGGAACAAGAACAGCTGTTATCTCTGAATCTAAAAATATTTAGAAATACAAAGACGAATTAGAAGACTTAGATCAATATGTGTAGTACCTTGAGGATTATATTGGTGAATACAAATGGGGATCTTACAAGATCGTGATCTTACCAGCTTCATTCCCTTTCGGAGGTATGGAGAATCCCCTCTTAACCTTTGCTAATCCTACAATTATAGTTGGAGATAAGAGTGGAGTGAGTGTTGCTGTCCATGAGATTGCTCATTCTTGGTTTGGAAATACAATCACATGCAACAATTGGTCCAATATGTGGATTAATGAGGGATTTTGTGTTTTTCTAGAAAGAAAAGGATTGAAGACATTGTTCAAGGATATCAATTTGGTTCATGTTAATTCTTAGGTTGGAAATAACGAAATGAACACATTGATCAAAGAGTTCAATTCCAGTTAAGATGACTTTGTCAAATCATATGCTAGTTTACATCCAAAGACTGAAAATCATAACGCCGATGATAGTTTTAGTGTAACTAATTCATGTTGTATTTAAGACTATTCCTTACGAAAGAGGATTCCAATTATTGTATTACCTTGAAAAATAAATCAATGAGACCAGATTCTAATAATTATTGAAGGACTGGTTGTAAGAATACGAATATAAGAGTGCAGATGAAAGTGATTTCTACAGATTCATGATATCGTGGTTAAAGGTTTAGTTGAGTGCTGAAGAATTCACAACAGTAAAAAAGAGCATTGATAATGTCTACAATAAGTGGATTTATGATTATGGTAAGCCACCCATAGAAGAGACCTTTGATAACCCTGCATCTAAAGATGTGCTCCAATTAGCAAATGCCTGGATTGAAGGCAAGGGAACTAAGCCTTAAAACTATCAAATCTTTGATGGCTTTAAATCAAATCAAAAACAATTATTCTTGTCCACTTTATCAGCGTTAGCTAAGGATATTACAGAGGCAATTATGGTCTCCTTGGAAGATGCTTATCATCTTAGTGATTTGCGTGATGCCGAACTGTTGTTCAGATGGTATGCTTTGTCTATTAATACCAAATATGCCAAGGATACAACAAATCTATAAAAGATTAGGGCCTTTGTTGGAGTCGTAGGAAGAATGAAGATGGTGAATCCTATTTATAAGGCTTTAAATAAGTAAGGGTTTTAGTATTATGTTAAATAGGGAAACTGCAACCTAATGGTACCAGGAGAATTATGCATTCTATCATCCATTGACCAGACAATCGATAGAGAGCATCATAAAGAGCAAAACTATAATAATATGATATCAACATTAAATATTCATTATTTATCTCTTCTAATTGGACTTAATTGGGGGGAATAGAAATTGTTATCTTTCTATCTCGGAATGATGAGTTTCTGACTTGTAAAGTCACGAGCGGTCAACTAAAATACTTTGCCAATCGTAGCCGTAAAATGAGGTAGCTGATTAACAAGAGGAGATGAGTCCCAATTTTCATCATTGATTGAGAAGAGAGATTCATTATAAAAGTAACTACTTTGTAAGGCAGCTTTGGCTGTTATTCTTTCATCTGGATTCTTCCTAAGCATTGAGTGCAGTAATTTTATTGCATTCTGATTACTATGTTGTTCTTACTTAACACTAAAGTCGATTAAGCATTATTTATTTTTATGGAGTAATTCATCATATGTTCTGCCCTTAAATACGTTTTTCCCTGTTATTCTATATTATAAATTTTATTAATCGTACAATCTATAAAAGATGCATCCACAACTAAAGATATCGCAACTCTCCGATTGCTGATTTCTAACTGCGGAGTTCAAAATTTCAGGAGCCACATATCCTGGAGTGCCACATTTATAAAATAAGTATCTGTTGACCTTAGTAAATGTGGACAATCCAAAGTCTATTAGGGTGATTGTATCAAAATTATCATATTCAGCCAGCATCAAATTGTCAGGCTTAATATCTCTGTGTATGATCTAATTTATAATTTAAATAAAATTAATGTACTCCAACTGAATGCAAGTAATTTACTCCTTCCAGTAGTCTTCTCATGATTTACAAGATTTGTTTGTTTGTTAACTTCTTTTGAATTTCTCCTTACTGATTCTCTAGATATGTAGACAATGATTGTCCACTCAATAATCTCATTACAATATAGAAAGCATATTGGCTCTAATAAATTTCGATTATCTGAGAGCAGTAGATGGAGTCCTTGACCTTCAATAATATTTCGATTTCTTGTTCCAAAGAGGCCTTAGAATAGGAATTGATTGTCTACGTAATTTAAAGGCTTGAGAGTTGTTTTATCAATTATTTTGATTGCAACAAATTTGTAGGTAAATTTGCAGAAAGCTTTCACCACTCTGGATGAAGCCCCTTTCCCGATTTACTCCTTAAAGTCGTAGAATTCATAAACATTATAAAAACTTACTTTGCAAGCAAGTAACTCTTTAAATCTAAGGAAAAGACATTTTTTACTTAAAAAGAATAGAACTATCGTCACTATAGAACTTTTTCTACTTGTTACCTACATGTATGATGAATCCGCAGAGTCTATCGGTTTTGGTTATCCATCCCACGGTTGCATTCAACCTGATTCTTAAAATATATTTGAGATTCCGTTCACAATTTAAAAGCTAAACGTAGCCATTGAAATTACTTTGAACATGCACACTGTGTCTCCGTTGAACGTAATTTGATAAGGTTGATTAGTAATGAGGTTTTTGCTGTAGGTTAGAAAGTTGAGTATTTCAGTGTTAATGTTATTCATTTATATTAAAAATGAAAAAGCAAACGAAAGGAGAGCCTGATCTTTTGATTGAGTCGATGCAGAAACTCATAGAGTAAGTGTGTTAATCTATTAAATGAGTCATATGAACGATAGTAAGCAACATTAGGAGGAGATATTTCAATCGCTTACCCCTACGGATGTTCAAAAAATACTAACAAATTTTGAGGATAAAAACTAATTAATGAGGAAGACTTCAGCAGCCTTTTTGTGCGAACTTGTTTTTGACAATCCCACAGTACAAAAAGGATTTTGTGAGATTTCAAACATTTTGCCAATGGATGGCAAAGTAAGCATTCTGATAAAATTAGATTTGTGTAAACAAAATCCCATAATCATTGTTGAGTCAAGCCAAGCATTTGCCAGAGATCTTCGAGACAATTAAAAGTGCTTAGATCCCATTTGATAATGAATTAAATTATCCTTTGTGTTGGTATTTTGAAAATTAGAGAGACAAGGTGTGGAAGAAAGGTGTAAAATTCATTAAGTTTGAAAAAAGCAACAATGGAGCAAAGACCAGAATAGAGAAGTTCATCGATCCATAGTTACACCTCTTTGGTTTCATTATTGCAAACAAAAAGGAAATCTAATCTCAAGATGAAATAAAGAAGGCCACAGTTTAGACTAGACAATAGCAGAGTGTGTCAACTTATGAATCGAATGTGAAACGAATTCCAAATGTTTAGAAGATGAGACCTAATTCAGGACAATCTCCCATCCAATCAGTTAGTCCTCTCATTAAAAGACAAAGAGGTATGAATGCCTCCGTAGATTATGATACAAGTGGAACTAAATCGTCTCTTGGGAAAACAATGATAGAGACAGAACAATTATAGACAATCAATGAGATTGATAGACCTAAATCGAAGTTGGAGTCTAAGAAGAGTACAACTAGCAACAATATTTCAAATATCTAGAAGAGATTTAAATGATTATATTTTAATAACTAATAATAAATATAAAATGGCTGGTGTTTTAAAGACTGTGGGTGACTATTTCGAATTAGACAAGTATCAAAATGAGATAGCTCCATTTGTAAAAGAGAACTATGATATGTTATAAAAGATGGTTTAGACTAAAGAGAAGGAATGTTTGAACAAGAATTTAGATAATGAGTAGAAATACATTGAATGTATGTAAAAGACTGCTGAACGATCAGAGAGAGCACTAAAAAGACTCGGTATTTTGATGATTATAATGATGAGAATATGGAATTATGTATTGGAAATAAAAAACTTATGAATGTTTTCATAATGAGGCTTACAAGGATAAGGAATTTAAGAATTTCGAGAGATGCAAACCAATTGCTAATCGAGAATTATAAGAGGTCTTTTCAAGTTTTAGGTTGTGAATAGTGATGTTCATTAAATATAAATTTTATTAAAAAAGATATGAATAAATAGCGCAAGACTCAATTGGAAGAGTTGCAGGAGAAAGAGAGTAGCTTTGGTAGAGTGTTCAAAGTGGCTGGTCCATGTAATTAGTGTTCTCTAGTATGAATAGTGGTCGTGGCTGAGAAAATGGCAGGAGCTAAGATGTTTGAGTTAGTGAAAGTCGGTTGGGATAAGTTGGTTGGTGAAATCATTAAATTAGAAGGTGATAATGCATCTATTCAATGTTACGAAGATACATGTACTTAAAGCTCATTTATAAATGATTAGCTGGATTGACAGTCGGTGATCCTGTCATGAGAACAAAGTCCCCACTCTCAGTTGAATTGGGACCAGGTATTCATACTAAACCTATGTAGGTATTTTGACTCAAATTTTCGACGGTATTCAAAGACCCCTTTAAGTCATTGCTGAACAATCTGCTTCCATTTTTGTGCCAAGAGGTGTTGACATCCCTGCATTGGATCAAGACAGAATTTGGGAGTTCAAACCCTCCTCTACAATCAAAGTAGGCTCAATGATTAGCGGTGGTGATATCTACGGCTCAGTCTTTGAAAATAATCTCTTTGATGAACATAAAATATTGACAGCACCAAGAGTCCAAGGAAGAGTCACTTACAT